CGCCCATACGATTATTTGCCCACCCAATACGCATTTTACTACGGTAACGTCATTGTTAACGTTTTAGTGGACGTGCATTACCCTGGCTTGTTAGCCAAGGTGCATATGCATACAGTGGTAAAACACTTTAAAGATCTTCCAATCTGATTGCTCAAGTGAATATTTCTTCATATTTATAGAAAAAAAGCGAACCGCTCAGAGCGCACGCGATATCGTAGATTGTGATCGATGTGGTTGTCCCTGATCGTGACTGATAAAATCAAGTGTGACGTGTAGCAACTAGCATGGCATTTCTTTCATCGAACAATGCATGTGATCGCGAGCACTTTTATAACACTTTCAACCAGTGTGTCTCAACAAATTCCAATACATACATGCGTCCAATAATTCCTGCATATCCTTTCTGGAATTTCTGCTGTGCGTTGTGTTGGCAGGCCAAAATCGTAAGGAATCGAGCCAAATTAGTGTATGACAGCCACGATTATACGAATACGTGAAGTATCACAGCGCATAATAGTTTATCATAACTCGAAAATGAACTCTCAGTAAATACCAAAGTATAATTATAGGGTATTCAATCAGTAATGTTCCTGATTCGCGATGAAAGAATGGTTTTTGTTTGTAACTGCCGTCTTCCCTTAAGCTATATACTTTGAAATAAGTCGTATATTATAGACGTGATAATGCAGGAGATTAACACCCCGAGATTTATATAATAACTGTTTTATGTACGAATACTTCAACTGCTTATTGTCTTGCTATATAGTGTGCTCAATAGCATGCAATGTTCGACACATATGCTTGTCTTCTGAACAGCTCCTTAGTACATATTGTTACATATATTATTTTATTGCAGCCACGTGAAAGAGTTGCTGGTAAACAGACACATACCTACTTATATTATATCGACCTTAAATCAAGACAAAAGTGCTCCTAAAATGACGGCACTGATAAACTACTTACAAAACTATTCTTTTGGAGCCGGTCACTGACTGTTGGCAATTAACGTCGTCTTAAACACTTTGCGAATAAGTAGCTGAAATTCAGTTTCATGAGTGACTGACTGAATTGTTTCTTTCTGTGCTGAAGTTGTATTTATATTATGCAAGTATTTCGGTCTTGCTGACGATAAACATGATAAAATTTATTTTACCCGGCGACATTTATCGAACAAACTGCCTATGATGGCCGTTAAAATTAGATGAAAATCGTATTTTTTACAGTAGCCGCGTCATAGATTGGTAAAAGTTTTACACAAGATTGCTATAGCATATAATTATATATACTCGTGTAAAACGCTGCATGTTTTATATTTCTGTCGCTCAAACAATCCGGCATTTACAATGAAATATAAACCATGAAAGTTTGTGTTTACACGTAGCATACTTACGTATAACAGTAAGGCACGTCCTTTTGCCTCGGATACAACGAATCTGTTATTGCACTGATTGTGTAAATTATCGATGTTAGTAATTAACAATATCAATTTATAGAAAACTCGGGTTTTTATGCTTGGTCTTCCAATGTCTGTTGTCTTGGTAGTGAGCGTAGATTCAGAAAGCCAGGAAACCCTTCTCCAAACAACTTTATATATCAGTGAAGTTAAGGGGTCGACGCTAGCTGTCCCAGAGGGATAAGTTTTAAGTTTCTCATGTAAAGAGTTGACTCACGAATAGATGTGCTGTTTATATGGTTAAGGCTATAAATGATTCAGTTTTAACCACAAACCACCTGTTTAAAACATGTTTTATGATTGTTTTCAATGCACAAACGCGCACGACATCATATTCATGCACGTGTGGAGAGTGCATGTGTGCCCATCATGTTGGCTTTGTGGAGTAGTTGTGTCTAGTGGAGTAGAACTACGGTGCTTTGACTTGAACAGAATTATTGTATAGAACTGTTTACACGCTTAAAACTAGTCTACTCTCCGCCAGGGACTCACGAGAGTCGTGTATAATAGTCGAAAACATGTAATCGGTTCACGCATGTTTATGTACGTTGCTAGGCAACTAACATATATCTCACATGGTTTATACGTCACCACTGTTAGGATAATGCAGCATAGATTGGGTTACCATGGTTACGTCCATCAATAATTTCGAATAGATCATCGATTTAGATGCAATAAGAGTATGAGGAATATCCAACCCACGGTGAACTACCTGCATATAGTCCGTTTCTACAATAATATTGCTTCTTATAGAGATCTTCAAAGAGTCCATTCGATTTCCAATTTTAGATTAAATTTAACATCAAATTACAGTCAGTCTTACTTGTCGTACTTGAAACCACAAAATTGTAGCTAAAACCTTGAACGGAAAGTTAAAAGGTTGGTTATCTCAAGTGTTTTGTGTATGTTGCCTTCGATTTTTGCAAAATTATTTCAAGAATTTTATTGAATTTTGGCTTTGTGAAACGTGGACAGCTGGCGACAGCGTTGGTGTTTGAGCGCTTTTAGCTTTCAAACGACGTTGTGCACGGAATTTGGTTTCTTAAGGTTATGAGAATTGACGAGAACTTGGCACAAAACCTATCTAAACCATAAGATTTCCGCCGTCTATCCTGAGAATGAGAATCTGAATGTTTGATTAACAAAACATTAAGTTTACATTGTTTAGTTGATTTCAGCAGAAAGAATCTTTTAGTTTTTGGTTTTAATTGAACAGAACTTTTAGAAGTGCTTTGAATTCTTACCATCAGCAGACATGTCGATGAGCAGCTGTGAAAGCAAGTATTGAATAAAGCATGAAATAAATATATTTTATATTCGCGCGATAAAATCGACCAATTTTACTGATGTCAATGGGTTACAATGATGTTGACTTTCTCAAAACATGAGATATGGCCGTCCCATGCATGCGTTGGACAGATTGATATCAGGCTCTATCGCGATTTATTTGGGTCTGAATCTATGGCTATAAAAACTGTAGGTCGGAGTTGTACACGATGACAACTAACTCGTCCGGGGACGAAATGATTTGAAAGTGTAAATTGCGAACCAATGCAGGATGGTATTATGTATAAAGGTTCAACCTATATATTGCTTTGGATGCATGGATTTCTATATTTGTAATTACGAAGAATGATATACAAAATTTGCAGAATCTAGCCCTTACTTTAAATGAACAAACCTGAGAAAAATTGAATAACTTTTAAAGTGGGCAACCTTATATGCATGACGACGTTGGACCCTTCCGCGCGACAACAAAGACCAGCATCCCCTGTGGAAATTAATCAGTGCAACGCATGTCATGATAGTTCTTTGCTGGGAGTTCCACCGGTCTTTGGTGACGCAATAGCGTTGACGTCATGATGAATAATAACGCCTATTGGTGGTCGAAATCGCTTAACGGAAATAAAGTAAAACTCAAATAATCAATTTGCAAACTTTCCGTTCAAGAGTATTATTATGGAAACGAAGTATTTGCATTTTTGTTTTATTGTCGATGTAAGCATTGTTAATATTATCGAAGATACGTGGTACTGTTGCTGTGCATTGAGAAAATTTCAAAAGACTTAATTTGTAGCCAGACTCTATTAAAGCAAAATCGACGGCCAAGACGACCGTTGGCACCTTTTATTAGCTATTCTACAATTCTACGGTTGTACGAACATGAATATATGAATATATACACCCCAATTAGCGACGGCCCTGCAACTAATATTGTAGAACTGTGGCTAACATAACACTTTTTTCTGGTTTTGCACAAGAGTTTCAGTGAAAATACCAGGTGATTACTTGCAAACGCTTTACTAGCCCCTCCGGGTCTCGGGTATTTTGTCCTCTTTGTCTTGTCGCCTAATGTACGTCTCGTATGGTTAATGAAACTATAACGTATTTTGAATTTAGACGATTTTAAATTTAAACCGTCCTATGACTGCTGAATAAATCATGCTGTGTCTAAACATTTCAGAATTTAAACATCAAAATTTTTGAAAACCGCATCATCATAGAATTGTAGCAGAACCGATGAATATATCAATTCTATACATAAATATAATTCATTTTTCAGTCTTTTTAATTTGTCTTTTTCGGACCACTGCGGTAGTTTCATATGCAGGCAATCAAACATCTTTTTTTTCAGGATTAATATGTAAAATCTTTTTATCTCTTAATTAAAAGACTGTATCTATCCCATACATCCTAAAAATATTTCAAACTAATTGAAATTTTTAATTTCGAGCATCTGTGCGCAAAACTTCAAATTAAATGACAGCATTTATGACAAAGTGATTGGTTTTAATGAAGAATATCTGCTTTTATGGCACCACGTCTCGCCAAAGAAGCAGGTGTACGTATAATACTGAACCGCCTACTGAACCGTTAAAGTGATCTTTGTTTATAAACATGAAGGTAAAAAAAAGTAAATGTGTTAAGACGCATTTTCTGGACACGATTAATATAGACTCTGTTATACACTGACGTCATAATACCTGAGACTTGTCATCCAGATGCATCCATACTTAACACAAAAATAATTGTTATGCGTGCGGTACAGGTTTATATGCGTGTATGGCTGCCATAACAAAGCAAAGTTTTAAAACTATATTTAGACAATTTCGAATTTCTATATTTTACAACTTTTCTATTTTATGCTACACGAATTTGTCCTCCAAATGCCTGCTGTATGACGTCATGCCCCATACACTCGGGGTATTATACTTTATTGAAAAACTTACAAAATTCTAATACCGTACAAAATTATAACAGACTGCCAACAAGACATCAGTGCATATGATCAAAATGAGTTATATTTCGGTTATTGTTTTGATTCTTGATCCCACGGAAAGTTTCCGTTTTTAGGACAGCTGAAACACAGTTCTCGGATCATTTTTGTAAAACGATTGTTGTTGCAGCGATAGATCGCGTAGTTAGTGGGAAGAATGATGTCATTACTATTTCCATACTTATATCAAGCTATAATATTCCAATTGTTTGTCTTTAAGCACTGTTGCACGTTTATCTCAAACTCAAATAAGCATTAAGTGTCACATACCTTTCAGTATAGTTTTTCTCGTTAGGTCTTGCCACTGCTCGCTAATTGACTTCCAGAAATTTATATTCGTAGTTACAGTCCTACAAAGGTTATGTAAAAATAAATGTAAAAATAGCCCTATATAAACGGCATATACGTGACGTTGATATTTTGGCGATAAGCCAACCCTTACTCTCTATTAGACCGTTTTTGTATTTATACAACCTACATGCATGGCTCCCATCTTTATCGTAATTGGCCTAAAAATATCAGGGTGGTTCATATGATTTGACATTGCTACGTGCTGCAGTCATAGATGACTGATTTTACTACAGAAAATGAGGTAAAATTTATTTAGCTATTTCATAACGGTGATGACATTATCATTATATTCACGACAACTCGTTCACGACAATTACCAGGAAATAGAAACTATATACAGGTTTTCCTGACTGCCGAAAATCAGTGCAGTTAAAATGCTGAGTTTTGGGGGATGATGTGATGTGGGGGTTGGTACATGGCATGATCGCAAAAAACAGAGACAACATCTATTTGTGAGACGACGCAACATCCAATTGTTATTCACTGTGAGCTAATTTATTTCAACTGAAGAGTACAAGTTATAGGTATAGCTAGCCGTGTCATAATGTCATAAATTGCATATAGATCGTGGCCGTAACGTTGAAATGGAGCCCCTCACGTGATCGAAATAATATTACATCTCAAAGTCATAGCTGCGAAGAAGTGCATCATTTTTATACTAAAAATAGAATAAAAATTATATAATTAAAAGTAACATTCGCGAAATTGATATTTACCTTAATGATGGAAAGTGAGATGGCAGTCAATACAGTTCTTTGCCTTGGAAATGTCTACAGCAATTGAATAAATGAAACCTCTTATGTGAGAATATATATACTGTGGGACAAAGAATTGTCTAGACGGCTGTTCAAAATCGCCTACATAATTATAGTTCACATATAGACCGCTTCCAGTGGGCGATTATACTCAAAAATGAAAAACTATTTATTTGTGAGTATATATAGAGACGAATAGACTAGACTGTAAGGTTCCCTATGGGATAATTTTTTCAACTTATGACAACCGCGCTATGACAATATCCGCTGAATATTAGATTGGACATATATACATGTCCATCACGCGATTTTAGGGTAAAACATCATGAAACACCATCAGAGTTTAGCCTTGCGTTGAAAGCCTTGTGATCATTAAATTTGTTATTTGTTTATAAGAAATCATCATAATTAAAATAGCAACTTTATTTCTTCGCCCCCGTTTTTTCGGCAGATGTTTCCATGTAGATATATGTTGTAATTTCTCGATTTTGTAGGAAAAAAAAAGAAATTAAAATCCATGAATGTTGGACACATCTCGAAATCAAACCCATTCAATCTTGCCATATATAATTTGCGCGCAGGTGTTATGCAGCTTGCTTTCAACCAATTAAATACATATACATTGCATGATAATTTTTTAATTTTTAATATATATATACTGATATTATCTCCAGGCTTGAATACTGTTTACTTTTTACAAGGAAAACCGGTCATACCACGAGAAAACCGAAAATAATATGAGGATTAGAAAAACGAGAAACGTAAATTTGTTAGTACGTCTATATATATTATAATAATATCAGTGCAAATAAACGTAGCCAGATGAACAAATTGTGAAGAGAACGGTATATATAATAAACCGAAGCAAGTCTTGTTGGAATAGACGGGCATATTTATATTCACATTACAAAGTATTTCTTCCAATCAGTGTTTGGAAGAACAAATTATACGAAAACTGCACAAATCTGTCACTATGCAAGAATTTGTCGCTAAGCATAGAGTCAAAATATAAACAGTAGATAATTGCACTCCTACGTAATAATTACTGCGTTTCCAGTACGAGCTGACGCCCATTATGACGTCACAAGAAACAATGGGACGGCGAAAACTCAAGTTATCACGCAAAGTTCAGACACACTTCATTAAAATACTATATACATATACCATATTATGTATTCTGCCGGAGGAACGATAGTTGACTCATTTTTCCTTCAACTGTTTCTGGCTTGAATTTGAAGTGTGTATAATTCCACTCGAAATTATGACCCTTTAAACCGCTAAAATAAACCATATATACGTACGTATAGGACCGGATTAACGCACGTGTGAATTAGTAGGGCTGCAGCTCAAGACCCTGACGTAAAGATAGGCCCTACACTTTTAAATAACCATACTTTGCAACCGCCTAGGCCCACACATCTTCCTAAACTCCAGGACCATGCTTTAAAATGTAAACAGACGTGCGGGTTCTGTTCCAGCTTAAGGCCCATGCATGGTTTCTTACGCCTGCATGTATTCCAAAAGCTAACTCACATTCACCCTCCTCGAGTGTGACATAGAAATTTTGTTAGTACTGATCAACGAGAAAGACCTTTCGTAATGAATGGAAAGATTCAAGATAAGTACTAAAAATCAAGCTCTCGTTGGTGTCGGAAATGCCGTAAAGGAATCGAGACGATGTGATTGAGATCTGATTTCAATGAGTTTGAATGTAAATAAGCTTTTAGAATACTGGCGTTAATCTCTCACACAGCCATGAAACCTCTGCTATACATGTACTGATGATTGAATTGCATCCATGATTGCATCTTAATAATAATGTCTTGCCTTAACTAGTTAAATCACAACCGCATTAGTATACGGCTTTTTTACGAATAAGAATTGGCTGAATTGCCGTTTGCTAACAATAAAACTTTGTGTGCCAAATATAATGAAAGCACCGGATTTAAACTGTTTTTGTCTGTTTCAGACGTCGAGCTTTTTATGTGGCAAACGTAATGTTATAATGAGCTAAAGTCTTTGTTTAACTTTGTTTTCATCCGATTCAGCACATGAAGAGTTCCACGTCTGAAACAGCCCTTAGGAAGTTTTACATCAGGCCATTTTTATCGAGACGTGATAAATATCTATCAAATGAGAAAGATTTCTTTGACAGATAATTCTCTCACATGCATGCATCATTCAGTTACCAGTTTTGAAACCTCATTGTTGCTTGGATTTAAGCCTTAGGTTAAGTTTTCGATGGTGATGCCCGTCCCGTCCGAAATTATATCAAACGCTTTGTTTATACCTTTTGAATAATCGAGTACGCAACTTTATTAGGCTACTGAATAAACATGCAACAGCGACTTTATTAGTGTAAGGAAAAGTGTTATTCCACATGCAATTCTTATATGTCTCAACCCAATTTTTTTTAGATCGTGGTTTACAGAAAGTTCGTTCGTTTCCATTTTAACTTCAAGGAAGACAAAATAATAGGAACAATACTGCTTTTCAAAGTCAATGTGTTCCCTTTACAAAAAATGTTATATTCATAATTCTCTTCAAAACACACTTAAACATCCTGTCTCATTCTTATGGAAATCAATTCCTGGTGTTACAAGCGTAGGACTGCAGTCAATGTTGAAGTGCATGCCAATGTGTGTGTCAGTTTGAGTGGCAATGCCTTCCTTTTACGTGAGGGTAATTTTTTGCTAGCAGACTGAAAATATGTACTTCTGCTCTGCAGTAAAATAGTAATTTTCGTTAAATTTCGTTAAATAGGTATAATTAAGAGGGTAGTTATAGACACAACCTTGTAACCATGGAGGGTTTTATCACCCACGTTCCACGGCCCACGTAGCGTGGATTGCAGTTACTAGACGCTGCAACAACAAAAGGATTGCACTTGAACAAACCGTCCCATTTGTGAGATGTGCATGTCAGTAAAAGTACCGGTGGTTTCATCGCGAAGCAATTATAAGACGTTGTGTTATTGGGTTCACTCTCGCTAAACCCTTTTCATAGTGATAATTTCAATATAATTTTATATATAAATGGATATGTGGGAAACACCATTTGACTGTTTAGACTTTAAATTTTTTCTTAGGGATACTCACAATCAATGCGAAATAAAGTATATAGAAAATATTGAAAGTGTATATCGGGTAGAAAGTGTTGGCATCGATAAAAAACCATAAGCTGAAGCTGTTGTATGTGAAGATAAAGTTATATAAGAAGGAGAGAAAGCTCAACGATAAGAATCAACAAAGTTTTGCACCGTCCAAAAATTATAAAAAAAATTTATGTATTTTCGAACTATTTTTTTTGCCTTCCTGCTAAGGCAGGTATACCTGCAACCTCACAAAGAGTGTACAAATTATAACACACGCCCTCTACATGTTTATTTCTTAGTTTTAGGCATTAATATATACTGTATCAGGCGTTCCAAGCATACATCCTGCTGCTTCGAAAAGGCAATGAAGCTGCATGGAAATGCCATGGCATATGAAATTATATCTGTCCACTAGCTACCATGGAAACACTGACTTTTCATGCCCATTGCCTTTGTATGGATATCGAAATAGACCAGCACCCATATGAAATTCCTGCACTGTCCATCACCCAAGCATGATATATAAAGTAAACCTTGCTGTTATATGTATGCATTGCGTCCAATAATAATATATCAACCGGGTAGCTTTGAGCGTATAGTGAAAATAGTCATACACAACTCTTAAACGAGTTATTATAGGTACATGCACACAAACACAGTATCAATTAACTTTCAAGTACGCCACTTTTGTGGCATAATTTATAGCTCTCGAAACGTGATCGATATTGAATTTGTGTAAACTTTTCCGATCGCGTTCAAGTGTAAAATCAAATCATGATTTTATAGCGTGAACATGAAATCTGTACGCAGTAGGAATATATATTGCGATTGTACGATTTTCCTTTTCAAGATTCAAAACTGTGATTTTGAATCATTTTTATCAAAAATTATTGTAATTATATCAAGTTAAGCTCCGCGTTCGTAACGGAGGATATTTCATAAAGGAGGATATTTTGCGATATAAAAAGGGAATCAAAACGTTCATGCAATTTAAAATGTAATGCATATAGTGAGGCAATCTTTTTAAATAAAGTGAAAAAGTTTTGCGAAAATCCTATCAAGGGCGATGGACATTGCCACCGGCACGCCTTTACTTTCAAATGTTATGTTCTTCAAGAAAACACGTATACGCCCTTATCTCATGCATTTTTCTAGAATTACAGCAACAATGTATGACAGAGTTCCGATAAATATCTTCCTAACAAACGTTCCAAAAAGTTTGGAAAGTTACAAAAAAGCAACAACTTAAGGAAATCGCTATATAGTCGATCTGAAGATCCAAGTTAACTTATTCTGGCTTCAAAATTCCATTGCTCAGCCGACGAAGCCTCAATTATCGAATATAGTTTAGCACAAATCGAGGTTCGTTTTTTACACATCGGCGTTGGCATTGGCATTGAATACACTGACGCCATATATATAGCTATATAGATATATTATTGCATGAATTGGCATTGTAACAATTGTATGATTCATGCATATTCGCTTGTCAAAACATGCAAAGACCGATAAACTATATAAATTTGAAGGGTGCCATACCTTTTGTTTATCCTTTTGAGCATTTACACATTGCTTACCAAAAATGTTTCTTAAAAAATGCTAGCGTGACAGGTAAACGGTTGCGTTTGTATCTGCTTGTTCTGTTGTATGTGTGAATATTTACATACAAATTCATATCCGCAGGAAGTCCATTAACTGTTTAACACTTATTATGGCTATTAAGAGAATTATGGACTTGGACTAAAGTGGAATAATTAGCTATATAAATATTAGATTGAGTACAAGGTCGTGAAATATTATCGCGGCGATAATATCCATTACGATAATAGTAGCTTACTATTAGTGGATTTTTGCCCATGCATACGTTGTATTAAATCTATATCCAATTTGACATTAAGTTAATAACATTCCTTACTGTTTTGTGACACGGAGTAGAATTGAACCACATTTTTCTTACCATATTTTATTAAAGTCCTGAAAAATTCGATAATGGTAGGTCTAGAAGTTATAATGCAATTAGTGTTTTAAACAAAACCTACATCAATTCAAATGTGATCACATCGTATTTATCTTTACCGCGTCCTTAATTAAACTGGGCCGGGCGTTCGACTGTTCGGAGTCCCGTAAATATACTACATATAGCTGCGTGCATTTCTCTCACTTACATACCGCGTCTTAGTATACTGCGATGGAAAAGTCATGCATTTTCTTCAGATTATTGGATGTGATATATGAGGAAGTAAGGCATTTTATAATAGTGGGTTTTCGACTATCGTATACTGATGTAGGACAAATCTGAAATCTGTATACTCAGTTTATAGGATATAAGAGTAAATAAACGACTGAGGAGTAACCACAGCCGTGTAAATATGTTCGATCATAAACTGGCTTTCAAAAGTCGTAGACGAAGAGAAGTGTTTACGTTACATTAAAATCCGTGCGGCGTCAAATATGGCCACCGTTTGCGATTCCTATCCATTTAGGGAAACGTTTGTCGTTGGGGGATTTTAGGTGCGGCGGGTTCGTATAGTTTTGGCATTAACTATAGCTTGTATGCATCGGCAAAATGTGTGCATAAAACAATATCGCAGACAGAAAACAAAATTACCTGAGGTCATGCAAACAAGACCCGTTTTATACATCAGGCAACAACATGGTAATAAAATTGATTCCTAAAGCCTTAATTGGGGACTGATTATAACAGAAGCGCAAAGGAATACTTGCTTCTGTAACAAATCAAACCAAATATAGAATCTAGTATATCAAATCTAAATATTTGGAACATCAAATTGAGAAGAGCCATAAACATTTCAATATTACGTTGTGGGAACCAGAATGGCAATACAACCTCGTACCCAGGGTCTTTCGTAGGTTCACAATTTTAGTTTTGCGGGCTCAATTTCATTTTTTTGCCTATGAATTATGATCGGTTCAATAATCTGAGGCGCTTTCTGGTATAATTATACAGTGTGTCCTCCAAAAAGTGACACTATATAAATTACCTCATTGTTTTTAAACCTCTCTTAACCTCTCTGTGAGAGTTGGTATTCTTCCTGAAGACTGGAAAATTGCAAACGTAGTTCCTGTCCATAAACATGGAGAAAAGACTTGTTGAAAACTGTCGACCAATTTCAGGTTCTCGAACGTTGTGTGTTTAGCCACTGATTAATGTTTGTTCATTCAGCACAAGCTCTATCAAGTCTCGTCTTAGCATCGAGTCTCGTCATACAAAATAGTCTGCTATGATGTGATATAATGTATGGGAGTCTCATTTAATTTGTTGAAATTAGATGTAAAGGCCGTTTTCCATTAAATTAAGGCGATCGATCCTCCATTAAGTCTCGTTCAAAACATAGTTCAAAATACATATCGATCCATTGCGTGACCTTGTCATGACTGCTCATATAGTTGACGTTTGAGGGCTATTAAGTTTCAATTTTGCTATATCGGAGCCACCGTGGGAAGGATGAAGAGAACTGCGAAATGCTTTTTATGATTTGTGGTTATCAAAACGTCTCAAGCGCTCCCACAACTAATCAGCACTTCCGTTCGTCATGTTTAATTTATGATTGAAGATACTACTTGCATATATTTCTTGGGCATCATTTTGTTGCGTTTTTCAGTGGACTGCAGACATTTAACATATTTGTCACGTGAGATACGTGCATGTTGGGTCAGTATCTACGTATACGAACAAGCTTTGCTATAGCGACTGACTCGATCATATTATAGGTAGACAATTACTGCACTGGATTACTGGTAGTATTTTTTCAGCGTCGGTGTTTCATACATGTAGCTGTAATATGTGTGGACTCGTGCCCATGCTATGTAACTGTCAACAAATAATTATAAAATCAAGAGTTTAATCACGAGACAGGGTATTTTGTGCATGGATCAGGGATCCAAATTGGAAGTTGAATGTTTATAGCTATGCCGTAGCTATATCAAATGAGAGTAACCACTACTACGAATAGATAGCGCCTTACGTGAGTTTTTTTATACACCCTGTACATATGCTTTTAATACCCTCGTAAACGTATCCGGCTAATCTGTAAATATGTTATCCGGCTTTGAAAAAGCTAAGTAAATAAATTCAAGGAACTTATTTTTTCATTTTGGCCTAGATGTTAAATGAGAAAAATTTACGAGCATTTTGAAAGCATTTTTATACCTACGTATATGAAGAAAAAGTAAGTGGAAAGCAACCATTAGCATGCAGCGAAAATTCGAAAAAATATTTTCGCCTAAAAAGTCACTCACTGATGTTATCGGTTTTACAAGAACATAAACAGATTAAGTCATAACATTCTTACAGGACGTCATATACTGCATGTTCTATAAATTATGCTATTCGTCAAAAGATATTTATTTATCGCGTTTTAGCCTGTGTGTGTTTCCATATACATTGATGTAATTTCGTTTACATTTATGCGAAACCTGATCATGAGCGCAATATCTTTTCGACCGATGCGATTGGTCATCACGAGCCGGTAGCCATTCATGCATGCAATATATACTGCCGTCGAACGCCAGGCAACGTCATATATTTTCGGAAGTCCTGCTAAAGCTAAAGAATCTAAGATTATCGTAAGGTAAGTCAGCAATTCATGCATAAAATAGCGAATGTGTTCTACAAGTTTAAATCATTTAGACCTTACTGAACAACGCTTTCTATGATTGAGTTACGGACAATCAATTGTTTCGATAGGCTGCATGTTAATAATATTATATTTATATCTTGCTCAGCAATTATTTATCGCTCTTTTTAGTGTTTGTTTTCAAGCGCGCGTAGATTTAATTCGAAGATATTTGTAACAAATCATTGTGCCTCAAAATAATGTCTTTGTTTTTCAGCCCTTTCCAAGCAGCCTCTAATCCTATGGGGTAAACCAGGTCATATATGTAAATGTATATAAGACATAGTGTAATTTTTTCCTTTCTTCTCCCGTTAAGTCAATTATATGTATGAAACTTTGGCCATAATTAAGTGGGTTCACCGCAGTATGCATGTTTAAAGGCATGGAAAATTTATGGAAATACCGTATACGAAAGGCTTTTTTCTCAGTCTCCGTACGCTACCAATTATCCATATGGCTCGCCGTGCAAGCAAATTTTTTTTCTGATTGATGAATATAGTATCAAGTAACATAAATGATATCGACGTCTTAAAGTCGCGATAAACACAGCATGCCTGTATCTATAGTATAGATTTCAGCTCATTTATATTTATATGATCTGCTTATTTTAACGGTTACAGCTCAGTAAAGTCAGTTGGGGAAACATCATATAAAATTTTAATATCTGAATCAGTGAACTTAATTAGAAATTACATCATTAGTAATATGAATTACATAGTTGTTGGATCTAAGACTGCAAAACCATTAAAATCTGTATAGAGGAGGATGATTAAAACGCCATCACATTGCATGTCAATGGTTATAAGTAATAAAATCCGAGTGTTGATTGATAAATATGCATTTCAGTAACTATTCATAAAAAAGTTAAAAAACCGGCCTAAGACGTACTCTAATGAACCAATGCTTGTTGTTTACAATCGTTTCTCATTGTCATTTAGACCCAGAATGATGCTGCCATTGAAATTCTTCATTACTAGCGCGTTGTTGCTGCTCCCTTCTATTCACCTAGAGGTAAAAGAGCGCTGGAGCTAAAAAGGTTCCAATCTTGTTTGAAAAAAGACGACAAGCCCATGGTTGACGGATATATACATATTCAGCTAAAGAAAATATATGCCAACTCTCCCATGGATCTATACGCATCAGTGAAAACTTGTAGCCGTTAAGCTTTTGAGATCTTTTGAGTTTCTTCATTAATTTCGTATTCAAAAGGTCAACGACCACGAGTTTCGTCAGAGGGCGTAGGCAAAAGCACTGCATGAGTACCTCCAGAATGCTTAAAAATATAATATCAGCACTAAAGAACATTCGAATGAACTTCGTCTGCATGTATTGCAGGGCGGGGGCAGAAGTGGTAATTTGAAAGGGACCCCAAAATGCTAGGGGAATAAAATCAAACTATTGTTGGAAGTATATAGTCCATGATAACAAGATTTTAATCATGCATTTTTATAACAATTTTTTCTGCTTGTATCACGGTTTCCGTAATTCTGCTTTCCGTAATTCTGCTAGAAATTTGGTTTTGCCATGTCGATTTACCGTAAATTTTCCTATATAGTCTCTGACGGTTCGTGATAGTTATGACCCTGGAACTTGTGCAAGATCCAACCGCGGTGAGCTTGTTCTGGTGAAAGATCGTGAGGATAAGGATGCTATTGTGATGTGTACTGAGGACAAGGGAATATACAGTTGGAAGACAACAGAAGGTAAGAAAAATTTTGCATCTCGAAAATTTAAATGTGTGTAATTATTGGTCATTATCCATTCCATTTTCAGTAATTTTTTTACCCTATACCATTCTAAATTGAAGGCTCAAAACCACTTGGTGAATATTTCAATCCTGGATATGATTGCTTGGAAATCTTAAGTCAAAACACAAAGGCAAAAGACGGTTACTATTGGGTAGACTTTCATCGTTCTGTTCCACATAAGGTACGGTTTAAAAGTGCTACTTATATTAAATATTGCACAATAAACATAATGCCTCCGCTTGTGAGGGGAGTGCGATTTGATGTAAAATCAAGCGTGATTACCAAATCACAGGTTGATGCGTAATCACAAGTAAGATTCCACGCTGAAATTGCACGACATTAAGTGCAATTACTGGCCACTTTATTCATTCATTTTGTGGAATCTTATATACATAAATTTAGGAACAATGCAAAAGCGTAGCTTTCGTCTCAATCAAAGAAAGCGTTATTTATTTTGTTTTTTTTATGTAATTCTTTATACGTTGATCTATTTAATCTTAATTTTATAGTATACGTTGATATATAACTATCTTAATATGCCGACCTGAGCTTGTGGCGAATGATTTCAAAATAAATTTATAATAATTTAAAAAGCATTTTAAGGTAATTCGTAGTCTGGGTTAGAAGTTAATTACCATAACAATGTTCTTATTTTGAGACTTCATGCTCCGTTATTGACGCCCCACAAAGCTATTATATTATAGTACACTGCATGTTTTCATGGAAAAAGATTGTCCTAGAAAAGTACGGGAAACTAACACTGATGAAAACTCAATAAATGAATTCCTCACCCACACCTCGCTCACACTTAAACCCACACCTAAACCACACCCAACTTTTCTACTATTGACGATCGAGGAACAAATCCAACTTTTCTACTATTGATGATCGAGGAACAAACCACATACGCCGACTTATTAATATTCTGTTATGAACGAAAAAATGATCGTTTATATATTGCATGCGCATAATAGTTGTATGCAGCGTGACATAGTTATGCCTTTACGAGCTGCATTGGGACCATCACAATTTACAAAAACTGCGATAGCTCACGCCGTTTACACCTTTATTTCGACAAGTGTTGTGCCAGAAAGGAAATGCCTTGTTGTTGAAGTAAACATGCAGAGTGACTGTCTCGTTATTCAGTTTCTCTATTCTTTCAATCCTTCACAGGTATGGTGCGACATGAACACAGATGGTGGGGGGTATATCTTAATCGGGAATATGAACAATACCGTGACATGGAATGTTCCGTCAAGCAACTCTACAGTAGAGCCATTTGGTACTCCTCATTTTTCCAGTGCATTTGGTGACATCTCTATACTGGACTTCAGAATACAAGTTGCAACAGATGTGCAATATAAGCATATCGTAGCACACTGGTATGTCTTCACGTATATATATTATCTAATAATAGTACGTATTGACATAAATATAAATATAGCTATTCACTGTATATGAGTTATTCCGCAATCTGATTGGTCGAGCTACCCACCGTCCATCAGCTCATATACGACTCGAGCTCGTGGTATAATTGTTAAATATTATCTAATAGTGCATGGATGTAGGTATTTATATACTTCTTCTGCAAACGTAAAACTAGCAAAAACTTACAAACTTTAACTTATATAGAAATGCGTTTTAATTTAACCAGGGAGCAGCGTGGCAGCGCTTTCAAACAACTCAAGCATAAAAATGTGGTATAATATACAAATAATGAATGTTTATGAGTGCAATGGTAAAAATATTTTCACGAGGTGATGGCGATAGCCGAGTTGAATGGAACATTCCATCTTTCACCAAGTGAAAATATTTTTACCATTGCACGAATGAAAACATTCATTATTTGTTTTATATAATACCAAAATAGACTGTCTAGTTTCAAAAATATAATTTATTAAAAAAAATACTGTATGGATCAACAACCATATGTGCGAGAAGCATTTTGATGGATGGTATTTACTGAAAGCATTAAGAGTCCAATAGAACAAAATGTATAGTACAATTGCACTCTGGAGAGTGCAATGGAACGCTTTCCATTGCACTCTTGGGAAATAGGACTTTCTATTCAATATCACGTGATCGTCATCGACCAATTAAACGCTCTAAATTTAATGGGGTATTATATAATAACTAATTGCATGATAACAGTCAAAAATAGGCAAAAGACCTTCTCGACGTGCCTCAGTCAGGAGAGTTTGTATGAAAATAAATAAAGAGAGTATATGTTGTGTATAAGGGCACAACGCGTGATATAGAAATTTACTAATGGAAAACAAAATTAAAACAAATTGGAATATCATTACGTTGTCAAAGAGGCGCCTGACTGCAGGCTAAAAATAGCTAGTCATTGAGGAAGCCTAACAAAGGAACTACATTACTACCTATAGTGATTTTCCTGATATTTTGCTGAGTAAATTAGTAGCCCAATAATCATAAATACACGTAGTGTTTTCTAAACAAAATATATAAATATAACAAATACACGTGTCTTCTATGTGCATGGTTAGGATGGACGAAAAAATATAAGAGGGATGGTGGCCTGTAGACCACTAAAGTGGCGAGCCTATTGACATTGATGGAAACTAGGATATCCAGGAACATATTTGCACTGGTCTCACCGATGTGTGTCTTGTCGACGTTCCGACACTGTTATTTCAAATTCACAGTTTTTTATCAGGCTACAATTAATTCACGTGCCTATATCGGTGAAACTGTAGAATCGTTAAGGATAAGGTTTTGTGAATACCGTAGGTCGGTCAACAGTCACGATACCACCAAGTCTATTGCCGGATGCAGATATTTGAGCCCTCTGTCCCATCTCTGGTACCGATAGCCGCAAACGACAAAAAATGCGACACATCCACATACTTCGCACCCTTATAGCCTCATAAATGACAGTCTGACTCTGACTTTCATTCAAGCCTTAATTTGGAAAACGACGTACTATATTATTATATAAGTTCATTTACAAAAAATGCATGTATCCTTTTATAATACAGCGGAACACGGAATATATAACTATAGACACGTATCTCTTTAAAAAATTTCAAAGCTTATAACACTATACTACACTTATAACACGGTGGTTTGCAGTTAGAATTAACGCTGGTGTACATTTTTAACTTTTGCTAATTCCAAGCTATTGACCTTATCCCTGAGCATGCGCAGAGCGCCGTGTGAGGGCACTAATTCCGTCCGGATATTAGGAATTACACCCGGGTTTTGTGACAGAACATAGCGGAATGCACAAATTTATTTTGGGATCACTTTTGCTGGGAGCTTAAATTCTGCGTTCGGAGTTTAAATATAGTGCTTAAATTCTGAAACTTAAATAAAAAATAAAAACCTGTCCCACACATAAACCCTGAAACTAACCAAATGGTATTGTAGACGTTCAATTTCAAAAAAAAATTAGAAAAAAAAGGAAAAATGAAGTAAAATAATAGTGCTTTACCAAGATTTGAACCGGGATATTTCGCACGCAGTACGACCTCTCGATCGACTAACAAGTTGTTGCTGAAGCGCTGAAGCATAGCGTAGTTTAGGTATATTTATAGTGCTCAATGTAGAAAATAACTTAAACAGGCACGGTTACAAAGCTCCCATCGAAAGTGATCCCAAAATAAATTTGTGCTAGCGGAATCCAAAGTCACAGAATAGACATTATACCAGAAGCCTCATTCTTTGCATTTGGCCAGAGGTTTGGCGTCCGAAATTTTTTTTTGGGGGTGTGACGCCATCTAACGCAAGCCAAATATGCGAGCACACGAAAGCATAATGGCGCTTGGTATCCAATTTGTGTTTGTGTCTTGTTCGCACAATCCTGGTGTGCGCAGGAACTTTTTCATGGGGGTGCAAAGTTCCTGCACACACCAGGATGGCGTAAGAATTGCGTAGAATAACGCGTGCGCTTCTGAAAAAATTCGGACACGAAAACATTAGCAAAATGCAGAGTGAGACTTCTGGTCCCCGAGCGGCCGAGCCGGTGTGGAGCACCGTGCGAAGGCACGAATTTTCCCGGAGATTAGGAATTACACCCGGGTATTGTGACAGAACATAGCGGAATCCAAAGTTGTCCAAATTCTATGTCATGGACAGTCATTGACTGTGGACCACTGAGCTGTATTATCACAGAGGTATATTGATAATTCCTGGAGGACTTGCTCCATTATATCAGAATGGCGGACAACTTCAAAGTACATTTACATTCCTGGGTGTAATTCCTAATCTCCCGGCGAATTAGTACCCGTCGCACGGCATTCAGCACTGGCTCGGGAATCGCATAATGTAAACATTTTAAGCCTTTTTGCAACATCATCAAATACCGCAGCAGTGATAGTTCAAACTTTAAGAAATTTCAATGTTTCAGGTCTTATCGGTTCAGAAAGAAACGTCCTATGAAAGAATTATTGATGGTGAATGATGGTGGATGTCCGTATAATTTACCTGGCATAGGCGACATTTTATACGTGAAGAATTTGATAACTGAAAAAATTTCCAAACAATTCTCATGTTCAGTATTTGGTCGTTACGGCTATCCTTCACATAGGATTGGTTGGGTGAGCTCATAAAATAGAAACATGCATTTACCTTGTAATATATATATATATATATACCTCTTGTTTCTTTATTATTATCAATATTGTCCACCTTACTATGACATTTAAGAAATTATCAACATAGTCATAGATTTCTAACGATTTCCCATAAAATTAACGTATGCAGTACAATCACGTGATTGATATTTAGGTATTTATATATATTTCCAGGTGACAACCTTAATGATAACGACTGTATATAAATATATATATATATAATTATATATATATATATATATATATATATATAATTTTTTTCTTTTTTTTCTTTAATAATATAACTCTTGTACAAATATCATAATAATATAATATAATTATATAGTATACGTACAAGTGAAGTCAAAAATTATATATTACTTTTACGTTTATATAGGCCATGATGAATTATTGTTTGGAAAAGCAATGTTTCTATGGATTTGCCTATCACCATTTCTATCCTATCCAGGTTGACTGGTACGGTGGATTCAGGTAGCAATACTGTAAACTATATATAACTTTCCATATCTTTATTCAATTTATATTTAAGCTGGTATATATAGCTAAATCATTTCTTCGCGTCCTAATTCCGTATTTATTGTTGTTGCCACTCCGCATATCTCTTGTTTTTGCTGGGTTTGGCTCTTCATGGTGTCAGCTTTACTTGCATTTTCCGCCATTCTGATGTCTGACTTTTTCGGCCGTGTTCATGCACGTGTTGTTTTTTTAAATTTAATTGAGACGCGTAAAAAAGTAAGAACAGGTAAAATCTCTGTTCTTATGTAAGTCGCGACTTACATCGGACGCGTTTTATCTAATTAAGACGTGAACAAGCATTTTGTATCGTTCATACGACGAAGTTGCGTCTTATATTTAGTCACGTCTTAAATCAACCTCGCAGGCCCGGCTCTTCTACCTACGCTCCACTGCCCACGCTGCGGCGAAGACCCTGGTTAAGGCTGGTCATGTGATCTTTTGTTATACGCTTCTCCCGTGTGCATGCATGGGGATGAGTAGGACACAAATTAAGTAGCGCATAAATCACATCCGTTAAAACAGCGTGTTTCTAAGGACTGATTATCTAGCGCTGTAGTACTGCAAAGCAAAATAACCTGTGTCGTTATTGTTATTTGACCTCTAAATTCCCTCATCAACGCCTAAATTTAGAAGACAGGTTATCGAGTGTCTATTAATTGAATGTCAACAGAACTTGTGAGAAACTAAAACCGATTCTATCGACGATGATACAGTTTACACACACACTTTGAATCTAAATTCGATTTAATTTAATTTGGAGTTTTCTGCTGCGCCATACTAGCTATATTTATTTAGTTTATCGCGCTATTTTAGTTGCGGCAGTGCAAAGCCATCTGGGTTAGATACGAACCAGGCGCTAATTAAAAATGTCCCATATTTTGGGAGATTTTGCGCTGTCACATAATCAGCCTTAACCAGGGTCTTCGCCACAGTGTGGGCCGTGGAGCGTAGGTAGAAGAGCCTGGCCTGCGAGGTTGGTCTTATAAATACGTCGCGACTTATTTTTCCTCGTATAAGTGGCCCTATTGTATCTAATTTCTGGTAATAAGAATTAACTGATCACAGTTTTGAACCGCTCTTTCTATAGTTTTCTTGCTGGTAATAATTCTGGAACCGCAAGTGATGGTTCTACAGCATTTTTTGGCTGCGACAATGGAAAGGTGACAAAACTTTTGAGAATATATTACTGTATTTTTAAAGGTCTGTTCACTCGATCCAATTTTGTTGGATCCAATTCACTTCTGACGCATGGAATATAGTCGGTTATTAATGAAGCAGTAGTGCATAATTGGCTTCAGTGGAATTGCTGCTCGTATACACATAAGACAACAGACCAGAAAAACTTCCATCAGAAAGTGAATTGGATCCAACAAAATTGGATCGTGAGAACAGACCTTTAGCCTTTTTTAGAACAGAGTTTGCAAAAAAGCTGCAGGTACGCAGGTACCACCCGGAGGAAGTTTGCTTTGAATGAGGTTTGTGAGGAAGGTTCAAAGTTGAAAGCTCTAATTTATCACATGCATGTACCAAAAAACTAAATATTTCTTCATGCTGGTTTCCACTTGACTCAGGGACGTAACGTTATTTTGAGGAAGGTTATTAAAACTTAGTTGAAATCCTACCGGAGGAAGGTTGAATAACTCTTTTCCTTTTTGCAAATTTGTCCTAGAAAGTTCCCGCTGTAACACATATAAAAAAAGGCACACTGTATGTGCAAATGTGCGCTGACTATATGAGGCATAGGAATAATAGACACAGAATGCGTACTTATCACGAATACGTGTTCCACATTTTTTTCAAGATGTGCCCTTATAAATGCGCCATTTTGAATCTCGCGAGGAGTGAGAAATCTTAAAACTTAAATTTTGGGTTAAGGCATATTTTACAGTCAATTATTTTACAGTCACACAGAGGCCAAAAATGCCATACCCAGCTCGGCATTAAGTTGCAGAACAGAAAACAAAAACAGAAAAAGAGAAAAAGCGACAAGCGATAATCGAGAAAGAGTGATTTTCACCGTTGAGCACACAAAAACAAACCACCGGCCTATCGCCATATATATTCATTGTTATGTAGGAAATATAGTTAGTAGAGAATAATGTTTATTGTAATAGGTTGTCAATTACTATTGTCTAGCAAACTTTTTAACTGTGCTTTGTTTTTTGAAGATTTTCGGGTTTTTTACATGCAACCATTTGTTTACATAAATTGTTATTTGGCTTGAACTTGATCATTTGTCCCATCACCTTGCTTTGATATTTGCCTATCTACGAAAAATATGATATCACTCTTTGTAGATTTTTAACAGGTTTCCACGTAAAAACGAGCGATTTCTGCATAAATCGTTGAAGCCGTGGGAAGAGAAATGACTATATTTTACTTCGCTTCTCGTGCATTTTGTGTATAAATAAGAACACATAAAACGTGTTTAATACAATCAAAAACATCATTTAGCGTACCTCAGTACCAGAAGAGATCAAGTGTTAATTATGTACTCCACACTTAAAAGTTATGCCTTGTCTTTGTGCAGGGAGTTTTCATTTTTAACACCATGCATGAATAGTGCGTTATAATGTCGACAGCGAAGCAGGATTCCATTTTTCCGTATTATGACTTATGTACGCTTGAAAAAAGATTGATCGAAAGCTAGGAACAGCTACCAGACTCCATCAGTCAAATCATTAAACAATGTAGTAAAAACTAAAACTAATCAATTTTCCCGTGCGTGACAAAAACAAAAACAAGCTTTCTCTCAAACTCATACATATCTCGCTCCTCGCGACCTTGAACAAAAAACTCCTCGCGGGAGTCTGAGACGAGGAAAAATGCCTTATAAATCTGCCATTTTTGGAGACAAATTTTTTAAGGGAAGAGGTATCAGTGCGCATTCTATGTCCATTATTTCTATGCTATGAGGTCGGTAAGTTGTTCTTTTGATGACTAATCATGTTCCACAGGCACAAGCGCTTGAAAGGGTTAAACAACCACGAAGGCTTGTCTAGTTTAAACAAGCACCATATATAAAAGCGCATGATTCTAATCATAAACAAACACCGCTAAGGCGCTTGAGCCTGATACATTACGTGTGCCAGACACAAAAGACAACACAACGAAAAATCACATCGAAAAATTAAAGGTTATAACAATCGATATGCAATAGATCAAGTCGTGGCCATACTAGCGCGCAAAATTAGAAGATCTTCGTATTATGGTGTCGCCCGGTCGGGTAGCTTCGGAGAATTTCGGTGAACATGAAAGTCACACAAAATCTCTGCACGATAGCAATATGGCTGCTGACGGTCCTGCGGGTCAGCGAACATAAAAAATCAATGCATCATTGCAAACAGAGGAGACATTTGTCTGGGCATGCGCTAGTAGGAAAGTTAAATTATTTTGTAGGTAAACAAACAGCTTACTGCGATTTAAAAAGGCAATAAAACTTTCAACAGGTATTTTAACATTCATAAACAAATACGTGCACGGAGAGCAGTTTTGCTATGCTAGCTGAAAGTCAAAGGCCAAATGACTGCATTTTAATAGTATTGTGACATCTTCGAATATTTTTCCAGTGAAATGTGCAAGTGGAATTTAATTCTCTTTAATGTCGTTCTTTCCGAATTTTTGATTGTATAAAAACTAGTTTTATGAAGAGACAAAATATTCATGTTAAGCTCGCTATACTTACGGTAAAACTTTTTTAATATTTTAAATATAAAGATGATGCCCTACAAATAGTTGCATGTATTGCATTTATCCAGTTAACTGCAGATGGACTACTTTCAATAGACCTTTCTTAAAATGACGTCAAACGCGGAAAGTCCAATGTTACGTTAAATTTGATTGGCTCCTCAAAACTATCGAGCCAATCAAACTTCGTGCAACAGGAGACTATCTGCGTTTGACGTCATTATGAAAAAGGTCTATTGCAGCCACCATGCAGATAAAAGGACACACTTTTCTAAACCTTGACACTCTCCTTAGTTTCCTAAGTGTTTTTTATGCGCGGTTTTCGCCTTAATCTGCGATTAGTATGCAAATCAGATTCAAATCGGTTACATCTAATCATAGGACTTCAGAGACTTTATCACTAAAGTTATCGTTCCAGTTCTAGACTTCGTTTACGAGTCACCCGTAAATCATAAGTTGTATTTACGCTCACGTAGAACAGACTGAACGAATCACAGAATCATAGCCAATCACGTTTCACGGGTAAGAAAATTACCCCAATCACGCTTTATGCGAAAAATATTGGGAACCTTTGAAAGCCAGGAAATTGCACAAATTCTGTTGAAATTGATTGCCAAATGCCAATGTTATATCAATGTTGCTCAATAATTCTCGGTGACCATTTTGAAAGCCCTAATTAAACTCACATCCAAAACGCACTATGGGCTCGAAAGAAACGCTTACATGCTCGGAACCAGTCAGAAGGTTACATTTACCCATAGCGTAATTTAAAGTGTATCACTCGTGAAATCTTTATGCATTTGAAAAGAATGTAAAAAGTTACTTAATATATTAAAACAAGTTTTTTTATTTAGTGCAATAATTTTAAAGATACTAGCCTATAAACTACCTGCAGTTCCTGAGTCCCAGGCTCCTGTAAACAATGAGCAGTTTCAAATTAAATAGCCGTGTTTAAACCCAGGAGGTTGGAACTCAGAAACCGCAGGCAGCTTAGAGGCTTGTATCTTCGAAATTATTGCACTAAATCAAAAAACGTTTTTTAATATATTAACTAACTTTTTACGTTCTTTTCAAATGCATAAAGATTCCACGAATGATATAGGCCCTATAAGTGAATGAACATCTTAATTTTAATCAAAATCCATTAGTGCTGTGCTTGTTATGGTCCAGCTGGAGGCGATGGTGTTTACTGTGGGGAGCAATGCAAGGTCAAGAACGGTGGCAAAATTTCAAGAAATGCTCATGCCAGGTTTTGGGTAAGATTGAATCCTCCTCGGAAGGTTTGGGAAAGGTGCATGGAGTACAAGACTGAAGAAGAGAATGGTGATGCAGCTTGGTATAAATTGGTCGGAGATAGAAATATCCCTGTGAAGGTACAGACCTTAATTAGAAATATGGATTTCGTATCACCGAAAATGACCGTGATTTTAAAGTGTTCCAAAGGTTCAATATATGAGAGAGTTTGGAATGCGAGGTCAATGAAAGAAAGATAGCAAACTATACTAGATACAGACCCATTGAACTGCATGACGTCACACTAGTAAATATTTCTGTATTTTGCCTAAAATTTACGTTTTTGGAAATTTATGCTACGTTAATTTGTCCTCCAGATGTCTTCCAGATGATGCATGTGACGTCAAATGGTCTATATATGTGTACGTGTACCTGAAATCTCAATTTTAAATTTATTTTGGTTCAATCTACTACACATCTAGGGTCGCTGTGGAAGAGATGAAGCAAATCTAAATCCTGGGGTAAGATTTTGGTAACTTAAGATTTAGTACTATTAATACCAGAAGGTTTTCATTGTGAATTACTTAGAAAAGTAATGAATGTTTATTCACAAAATCAGAAATGCATATTAGGGAAATGTACAATATGTATAATATGATATAAAGGCCCTCAAAGGCCCACATAGAACGGACGCGATTTGACAACGCGGCGCGATCTTATTTTCTAAAAGCAAATAAATTTTAAACTATCTTCTCAAACTCATTAATAATTCATGAGCAAATACACCAATCGCAAACACACATTTCATCACGTGCATGAGTTGTGAAACCCCGGTAATAAACCAAAAATTGAATTAATAATTAAGAACTTAGATAATAAACGCTTATACAGAAAAAAAGAGTGCATTACAACATTTCTTAATTATGAAAACAGCCAGGGGCCGGTTGTTCGAAAGATGGATAACGTTTTGTAATATAGTTATTTATAGACATGATTGACATTATCTTAATTAGGGGACTTCGAGAGAGAACAATAGAAAAGTGCGAGTATAACATTATTGTATGATATTCGGTTGAACAAAGAAATAAAAATATAAGCAAACATTACAATGGCGACGAGTGAAAATACACCGGCAACAACAATAAACGTCCCGAGAAGTGGTCTACCACCATTTCCACCGTTCGATCCACATGGCGATCAAGCAACACTCAGTACTAGATGGCGAAAATGGCAGCGAAGATTTGACAATCTTCTGGTTAGTCTTCGAGAGGAAGACCCAAATGTTAAACGAGCTCTACTCCTTACGTACATTGGTGAAGATGCCAACGATATTTTCGACATATTACCGAATACAGGAGAGGATTATGACACAGCAATCCAACGCTTAACTGAACATTTTGCGCCAACCGAAAACAAAGACATGGCTATATTTGATTTCCGGCAAATAACGCAGCAAAGTGGCGAATCCATCGACGAATTCTACCGTAGGCTGAAAGAAAAGTCAAGTTTGTGTGCATTCCATGACGAAGATAATGAGATAAAAACGCAAATCATACACAAAACGACCGATAGCCGTTTGCGTCGCAAAGCCCTTTGCGAAATACTCAGCTTGAAGGATACTATCAAATACGCAAAAACTTTGGAGCAATCAGATGTCGGTGCTCGGAAGTTAGAGAAAAATGAACAGCCACAAAATGATGTGGCAAATCAAATCAACAAAAGAAACAGACAACGACAAAACGACCGAGGAAATCGACATAACCAGGAATTTCACAACGGGAACAAGAGTAAACAAACATGCAGAAATTGTGGAGGAGCGTATCCCCATCGTAACGGCAAAACAAGCTGTCCCGCTCACGGAAAGGAATGCCATAAATGTGGCAAAATCGGACATTTTGCGAAAATCGGACATTTTGCGAAACACTGCCTCTCTAAGTCACAGCCATTAACGAGAAACAAAGTAAACAGGAACCAGGCAAATAACATCGTTTCGGATCCATTTCTGGAAACAAGCGACACGGACGATGAGTTCACATTTAACGTTTATGACAAGAAGCAGCCACAAGTCACAGTCTCCATCGCTAATATTCCTATTCGGGTCCTTATCGATTCAGGATCAACTGTAAATATCATCAATGAAGGAACATTTGAAGTTCTCAAGCAACATCGCAACATAAAACTGGTGAAATCAAATGCTAAAATTTACCCATACGGCACAAACAAACCACTGCCGGTCATAGGGCAATTCACGGCTACCATAGTCCATGATTCAACGTCAGTGACGGCAACATTTCAAGTCATCAGGGGATCAACGAAATGTTTACTGAGCCATAATACATCAACTATTCTTGGACTATTGAAAACATTTGTTAACAACGTAAACGCTCAACACCCCGACCCAAAGATACAACAAATCCTCAGCAATCACAAATCATTGTTCCAAGGCATCGGAAAGCTCAAAGGCAAAGAAGTAAAGTTAGAAATCGATGAAACGGTTGTCCCAGTAGCTCAGCGTGCGCGGAGAATACCCCATAGCATGAAATCGAAAGTGAATGAGAAGCTTAAAGAAATGCTTGAGCAGGACATTATCGAGAAAGCACAAGGTGCAACGCCGTGGCTTTCACCGCTCGTTGCAGTTCCAAAAAAATCAGGCGATGTTCGTCTAGTTTTGGACATGCGAGTCCCAAGTCAAGCTTTAAAACGACGACGTGTACAAATGCCAACAGTTGATGATATTCTAAATAAAATGCAAGGAGCAAAGGTCTTCACCGAAGTCGACCTTTCTCAGGGATATTTGCAAATTCCATTGGCCCCTGAATCCCGATATATCACAGCCTTCCCAACCCCAGACAATGGACCACATCGGTTTAAAAGGCTAATCATGGGAGCGTGTCCATCCGGGGAATATTTTCACGAGGAAATACACAATATCATTAGAGACGTACCGAAGTGTGCAAATATATCTGATAATATCTGGCTATGGTCTGAAAACGAGACCCAACACTTGAAAGATCTCGACAACCTGTTAACAACCCTTGAAACAAGTGGCCTCACCCTACGTAAAGAAAAATGTTCGTTCGCTGTCCCACGAATCAATGTTTTTGGACACATCGTATCAAGCAAAGGCATACAACCAGACGACGCCAAGGTCAACGCCGTCCTCACAGCACCACGTCCAAAGTGCGCAGCAGAATTTCGGTCCTTTCTTGGACTTACTAACTATTGTTCTCGTTACATCGACAGCTACAGCAGTATAACGTACCCCCTACGTCAGCTAACAAAAGCAAATTCCCAGTTTCAGTGGACTAAACATCATCAAAACGCCTTCGACAAGTTGAAGACATCACTCAGCAGCTCTTCCGTTCTGGCCCATTACAATCTAGCATCACCTACCCGAGTAGTAACTGATGCATCGCCTTGGGCTGTTGGAGCAGTACTCCTCCAGCAACAGTCTGACATGTCTTACCGCCCAGTAGCTTACGCCAGCAGATCACTAACCGACACAGAAATGAAATATGCCCAAATCGAGCGCGAAGCTCTCGCAATAGTTTTTGGTTGCGAGCACTTTCACACCTATTTATATGGACGAACGTTCGAATTAGAGACAGATCATCGACCTTTAGAGTATCTATTCCAACCCAAAGTCCATCCCACTGGTAAACCACCCCCAGCTAGAATTGAACGCTGGATTCTTCGCCTTCAAGAATACGATTTTACAGTCGTTTATCGACCAGGAGTGACAAACCTGGCGGATTCATTGTCAAGACTCCCACTACTAACTACAACACGCAGTAATATGGAATCATGCGCTGACCGATATGTCTGCAACCTGCTGAAACAAATGACACCATGTGCTATGAACACAGAAGAAATTAGACAAGTTTCCCTAGAGGACCAAGAAATATGCCAAATCAACCAGGCATTGGCAACCAACCAACTCCAGCTACTACCCAAACCATTCCAAAACATATCGGACGAGTTATCCGCTACAAATGGTGTACTACTTCGTGGAAATCGAATTGTACTTCCCAGGAGCCTCCGAAAACAAGCAATCCTCCTAGCCCATGAAGACCACGCTGGAATAACACGCACAAAACAACGCCTTCGCTCCAAGCTGTGGTGGCCAAAAATGGACGCGGAAGTGGAAGAACACATCAACAAATGTCACGCATGCCAAGTCACGGGTAGTCCCTCTCGTCCGGAACCGGTCAAGCCTACAGAGCTCCCCAGCGAAAGATGGTCGTCTTTAGCCATAGACGTCTGTGGACCCTTCCCATCTGGTGAATACGTAGTCACACTCATCGATTACTATTCTCGTTGGCCAGAAGCCAAAGTCATGAAGTCCATAACATCACGAAACATCCTGGCGTGGCTCGACGACGTTTTCGCAACCCACGGATACCCCAAGCAGATCAAATCCGACAACGCTTCTTATTTTAAATCATGCGAATTCTACACAACATTGAAATCGTGGGGTGTTACCGTCAAGTATGTTACAGAATACTGGCCTCAAGCAAACGGACTCATAGAACGTTTCAACAGAGTTCTCTTGAAACACGTCCAAACGGCGCTAGTCGAAGGGAAAGATTGGAAAGCAACACTTCCAACATTACTTAGAAACTACCGTGCCACTCCTCACGGATGCACTGGAGAAACACCATCACAACTGCTAATGCAGCGAGAGTTAAAAACTAAACTACCATCGGAACCCCAAGTGATAAATTTACCACAATTTAACGACTTGGAAGTTCGACGCACGGATGCACAGTCGAAGAAAAAGGGGAAGGAATACGCGAATGCTCGGCGAAATGCCAAGGAGAAGAAGATTAAATCTGGAGACTATGTTCTAGTTCAGCAGAAACATTGAGACAAATTCACAACCAACTTTCAAACAGAGCCAGTAAAAGTCATCAAGGTTAACGGATCGCAGATCGTGTTCAAAGACAAAGACGGAATAGTTCGCCGAAGAAACTCAGCACATGTAAAGAAAGTCCAACACGAAGATCAAACTGATGAAGAAATTGACGACGACATGGTACAACCATCAGCACAACATCAACGCGAACCAGTAGAAGAAATACCACCACCTATCCCACCGAGAAGATCAACTCGTAATCGAAAAGCGCCGGAGTTTTACCAATCTGGCTACAGTTAAGAAAAACACTAAACGATTGAACAACAAACGTTAATGCAACAACTAGAAAGGGAGGAATGTAATATAGTTATTTATAGACATGATTGACATTATCTTAATTAGGGGACTTCGAGAGAGAACAATAGAAAAGTGCGAGTATAACATTATTGTATGATATTCGGTTGAACAAAGAAATAAAAATATAAGCAAGCATTACACTTATCCAACGGATAAGTCCTATCCAACGGATAAATCTTCTATCCAGTGGATAGTTATCCATTGGATAGTTATCCATTGGATAAAAACGCGTTGCACGAAGCGTGGATAGTGAAGTGGATAGCTATCCAATAGATAAGTTAAAATTTACCGGAAGAAAACAGGATTATCCTGAAATTTCGCACCACAACGTCAGCTGTTGCTAAGCATTTACAACATTGAATTCATAATCATTACGAATTCTCGAGTATAGTTACTGAGTGGAAAAGACTTGAACAAGTGATTTGCTCGAACTTTGCACTTCACATCATAGTGATTTTATTAATTAAACATATTGCAATTTTATTCCTTGACCTTGCAACGCTTTGCCTTTCGGTTCCATAGCAAATTTAGGAACACTATTTTAATGTTCGTAAATGAAATTACTTAGATATTAGCAAGTTTCCTTGGAATAGGTTGAATCTTTCTTTGCATATATTCGCGTTTATAAACTGATTAGAAGCGTATAATAAATTTACCGCCTGTTATAAATGCGAAGATCTCCAAAAAATCGCCGCTCGGAACGGAATGTGTAGGCAACGTGAAACGCTGCTCCGACAAATTGCACTTCGAAAACATTTCTAATAGTGACAATCATGATGTGTATTACTTTGTTGAAACACAGTAACAAGAATATGGCATTTTTGTCCTATCTTATATAAATGTTTACGGTGTTACCTTGTATCTTTGAATTTATCCACTGGATAGTGGATTTACACCACCTCCGGTCCTTGGATAAGTTTATCCGGTAGATAGCGATTTTTATCCGCTGGATAAAGTTATCCAAGCTTCGTGCAACGCAAATCACACGCTGGATAAAACTTATCCGTTGGATAGCGAGTTATCTGTTGGATATAGCGACTTATCCACCTTTCAAACAACCGGCCCCAGAACAATGAAAGCTGTATTATTACCACAATTCTTAATTAACTATGCAAAAGTCAACACGGAGACCATTAGACTCGTTTATGAAATATTACATAATGTTCTTGTGTATTACTTAACGATAATACATTTTGACTGCTCTGGCGTCTATAGACTCCATGCATATTTTGCTGCAAGAAATTAGTTTATGTGCTTCTGAAAACTGAAAATTCGCGTCGCTTTGCCGCATCGCGTCCGGTCTGTGTCGACCTTAACTTATAAGAATATATGGCACAAATCGCATATTTAATGAGGTGCCAATGAAATTTTACATGATTAAACAGAAAGTTGTGCATGGGACAGATAACAAGGTAATTGGCGAGATGTTTCGAGATTCGACTGGCATGGATCGAACCAATTTCAAGAAAACATAAACATAAGTATAATATAAACGGTTATATATATATTTATAGTGTTGTGTGGATTAGGAGTTGTATTAAAAAAATATATATATTAATAATTGAAAAGATTAAAGCCCTCGGGAAATATCATTACTGAGGGACTGAATATTTCGCCGAGTCTCTCGAGCGAAAGGTTACATTTTTTGGCTCTGCCCAGCAGAAGAAAAATCTTTTTCCCAATTTTCTTTATGTACAGAGGCTCGCGTGGCCGCCACGCAAACTTCCGCGTTTTTCACGCGATTTTCAGATTTACCGGAGAAAATGAGTAAAGGAATACCAAAACGTTTTCCGAGCAGCATAGCGTGATACTGCACTTGGGATCTTGCTCGACTTTCGAAAAGCGTAAAAAAATACTCGCCTACGGCTCGTGCTTTTTCACGCCTCTGTCTGAATATCCCAAGTACTGTATCACGCTATCCTCAGTTGGTTTGAGGAAAAGCAAATAACTAAACACAGAGAGAAAATGATTTCATCATTTAGAAATAAATTTTTAGAAGTGGAAAGAGTGAATGGTTCCCTGTCCTCTTGTGCCGTGAATTTTTTACCTTCTCATTTTTATCGTCTTGTGCGGCCATAAAAGTGTTATTTGTTGTTTGCGCTGTGAAATTAATTGTTGTTTGCGCCGTGAGATTGCTGTTTGCGCTGTGAGATTGTTATTTGCGCTGTGAAATTGTTATTTGCCCGTGAGATTGTTGTTTGCGCCGTAAGATTGTTACTTGCGCCGTGAGATTGTTATTTGCGCCGTGAGGTTGTTATTTGCGCCCGTCAAATTGTTGATTGCGCCTTGAGACGTTTGTGCCCTCTGAGTTGAGGTATGAGTTAAAAAGATTAATAGTGGATCAGACCAAATCAGACAAAATTAACTTGTATATACATGCACTTAGCATGTTTCTAAAATGTCATGTATGTATCATCATGCTATATCATGCAATCCTATATACATATTTATTAGATAAATTTCTCAGTAGCTATATTGAGTCATTTCGTCAAAAATAAGGGTAATACAGCTGAGTAAATAAAACTCTTCCATGTAATTTGTTTAAGGTTTTTCATAGTTGTTTTTGTCACTTCTATATATGCATGGTTGAAATAACAACGAAGACGTCAGATAAAATTGAAAAGAAATTTCCTACAGTGTGATCAAGCGAATTTAAACTGATTTGCTTTCGTCATGCTTATATGCGTCACACCAGGAGTAGTGGACTATAGTTATGGGACCCACATTCAGATTTCTGGTTTGGCTATAATTGCTAAATCGTTAGCAATTTTGACTACTTTTATACCGGTCAGATAAATTTGTTCCCCCGCCACTGGCATGAACTGCAGATAACCCAACAGTGCCTTGATTTGCAAAGACGAGATCAGAAGATCAATTCCTAATAATGCTGTTTTTTAAGATTGTTGCTGTTCCTGATGATGCCGCTTATGATAGAGTACCAAAAATTAGTGGTTTGCTGGCATACCAGAAGGACATTGAGAAGCTTCACTTAAGAAAAAATGATACATGGAAAGTTGTGGCGGAAGAGGAGATGGTCAAAAACTTAACAAGACAGGTAAAATATATGTGTGCGTAATTTTAAAACATTAGAAATCATGAATATATAACGATACAATGATTCGAGCAAGTGGACGATGGCGTTCGACATGGTATTGCACTCGCAATGCGCGAAAATGACGTTCCACCATAGGAAACGTCAAAAAAGCTGCGCGCGTGTAACATATATATTAAATGTGTACATTATATTAAGATTAAGTTGAATAAGAGTATAATACTTGGGGGCGTATTTTAGCGATAGCTGCACAAATAATTAGTCTTTAGAAGTACTCGGTCGCGAAAAATGTTCAGTATGTTACTACCACGAGTAGTGCCTCGTCAATCTCTCGTAAAATATTGGTGCAGGTAGAATCGTTGCCTCCTAAATTTTTGAAACGAAAAATTAAAGTTCAGCACAACGAGCTTAATTACTGGAAGTTATTCAATTATGACCTATAAATAAGGGGAACATTCAATATCCTATTAAAATTGAAAGTCAAACAGACGACACTGCATGCCTGCATTCAGACCAAACATTAGGGTCTTTTTAGTGAAGTCTAATCATCTTAAATACTTACAATAATAGAAGTAACTAATAGAATTATTAAAAATTTAAAAGCTTTCGAAAACACACTCTGCCTTTACACTATCTAATTAATAGCGATTGGTTGATTCGTGGTCACGTGTCCTTGGAAAAATGCAACGTTTCCCCCGAGATAAATGTGGAAAATTGTTTGCTCTTTTCAAACAATAATATCGCGTTGAAACCCTATGAACAATTTGAATGCTTTCCAGTTTGTTCGAATATTATTTAATTGAGAGAAAAATACATGAAAGAGGAATTCTCGTAGAGACTTTACAACAAGTTTCACGATTGTTTAAATTTATTACTAAAGAAATTTGTTCGTGAACTTACGAAGTTATATTATGTGGCATACTCTGACAGGATTGTTCTGGCTGCGATGATGTGTTAAACGTGAGCCATGAGGGTTTCATTACTATTGAATCACTCAACGCAGTTTGAAATGATAATTAGGTACGTGAGCTATATAAGGGTGTTTATGAATTATAGGTACTGTGTTTATAGGTATTTATGATGAATAATGCTATAATTGGAAGACTGGAGGTCCTGGAACAGATGATGCGTAAGTTGCGTAAAAGTGTTGAGTCGTTTCAATCAAGTCACTTTAAAATTCTCTCATGACCTCCCCCCCCCCTCCAATATGCCACATCTTCCGCCGCCATGCATGCACTAAAGAAAAAACCAGTTGAAATTTCTTGCACACACCATGTCCGTGTAAAAATGGAAGACCGAGTTATTAATTTTCTTGCGCCGGGTTTAAAATAACTAGTGACTTTCGTCCGTTATCGGGCTTTATGATACACGGAAGAAAGGAAATCAACACATTTTTTTGGAGATACTGCTCACTTTTAAAAATCTTCCTTAGTTTAAAGTGGAAGTCAAGTCCGTTGACTCCGTTCTGCGCATAGGTTCTGCTCATAACAAGTGAGGGCCCTCTGTTGTGAAAATTGCCTAAATTTCGCATGTTTCTTTTTTTTCTTAACATAAATAAACTCTAGTTCATATTAATTTAGAAGCGTAACGAACCTAAACAGTGTTAGATATTCAGACAGCACATCGTATTTTAAAAAATAGGGAAGTTCAAAATGTAAACAAACCGTTTGTTTACATATGGACTTGACTTACACTTTATATTCTAAATTGAAAACGATGTGTTCAATCGTTTCATTCGTTTGTTTGCCCAAGGTGGTTCGATATTCGAATGTTCTGCTTTTCCAATTTTGGCACATATTGCATGAATAGAAATAATTTTGTGACCTTTATTTCAGCGGTCCAACAAGTATTGAAAAGCCTAATGACATAGTCAAAATACCCTTTCATAAATTATATTTTCGAAGCCCTCCGTGTTGTTATAGCTGAAACATTTAACATTTTTCGTAATACATTATTCCCCCGCTAACTTGAACTCCCAAGGGGAAAGAAGAAATGTTTGAGTCACCGGGGGTTTCAGTTAACCAGGGATGGTGTTAGATTACGTTTATATATTTACGTATATTAGATTGCCGCAGTTCATGCGTTTATTTGCTAAAAAATCCTACTTGATATAATAATGAAATACTGATTCTTTAATCAGCGACACCATAAAAGTTAACTGGACATTAAAGTTAACTGAAATTAATGTGTAGAGATGTTACAAAGAGAACTAAAAAAGATAGATTAATAACGATCGTGGCACTACAGATAATATTTTAAAATTTATAATCATTTATGCAATTATAAATTGATTAAATTGTTATCTCGATAGTTTCCGCTTGTTAAAATGCTATCTTCTCGCATTTTAAAGTTTGCTGATCTATGTATGATTTGAAACCAAAGTAACCAGATACGTTCGACCAAGGAAACCGAAAATTTTTTCGAATTAGGGAGGAGTTCGAGTTAAACGATTTCGAGTTAGCGGGGGTTTACTGTCTATTTATTGCTCTTAAACAGTCATTCCTCTAAATATTCCTAACTTTAACTTTGCTGCGAGTTTTTCGGTCTCCCACGAAACACACGCAGCCTTTTATAGAACAAAAACACTGGTAATAGACTGGTAATTACGTCACAACATTATCGTTTTAAATTTAGAACCACCTTAAAAGAGATGGATTTCAAGTTTTACTCTGACGAGTTATGTGCGAAGATGCAAAACATCCTTCTTCAACGCATGCATGAAAAAGAATTTTTCATTTTGACAAATAAGTATGGAAATAAGCCATAAAGCGGAAACGAGACTCGCGGTCTTAGCCTCTGAGCCTCGTTCTCGTGTTATGGCTTACTTCCACATTTATTGGGCAAACTAAAATAATCTTTTTCATGCATGTGTTGAAAGAGGACGTTTTGCATCTTTTCACGTGGCTCGTGAGAGTAAAAATTGAAATCCATTTAATTTAAGGTGGTTCTAATTTAAAACGCTGTGACTTTAAAATGTTGTGACGTAATTACCGAAGAGGTATATTAACGCAGTGATTATATACAAATAGATATCACAAGTATTTAAAATAGAAAAAACTATTTGATTTTCGATGCCCTCTAGACTTCCCCAGCAAAATTCTTTTCGGACAGCCAAGTTTAATAGCTCAACTGAAACAATGGTTGCCACAACTTCACACTGGTTTGGTGGTATGTTACCGAAGTTCGGAGGACGGCTGGGGAAGCATGAGGTTCCACAGCGGTTGCGATAACAAAGGACCGACCGTTACCCTAATCAGAGTTCATTCCTACATCTTCGGAGGATACACAGATGTTTCGTGGGGAGGTAAGCAACCCGAGGTGAATACCCCCAAGTCCCCATAATCTAGCGACATCATCTATATATATATATATATATATATATTATATATATATAATATATATATATATATATATATATATATATATATACGCAAATTTGGATCTGTGCGTAGTAAATCAGAGTGCTCAATACCAATACAATAGTAGAGCAAATAAATCAACAAATTACAATCTTAAAATTTTTAAAATTTTATTTCGCTACACTGTGTTTCACGTACTTCTACCGTGCACGATCATCAGGCGATTACTGATTAGTAATCGCCTCATGATCGTACACGGTAGAAGTACGTGAAACACAGTGTAGCGAAATAAAATTTTAAAAATTTTAAGATTGTAATTTGTTGATATATATATATAAATATATATATATATATATATATATATATATATATATATATATATATTTATATATATATATATATATATATATATATATATATATATATATACACCCATTTACAAAAACGTTGGCCGCAGATAGATAGATAGATAGATACCCGAAGTCTAATTAGAAACGTTTTTGCAAATGGGTGTATATATATATATATAAATATATATATATATATATATATATATATATATATATATATCAAACACATATATATATATCAAACACAAAGTCTACTACGAATCAAAGTATATTTGAATATAAATATTAAAGCTTATATATTAAATTTTCGATAGACTTCGATACTCGAAGTCTAATTAGAATTGCATATGATTACATCTGGAGAGAGCTTCTGAAAGCACTGAGTATAGTAAAGAGACTGATGTTACAGCAAAGAAATTGAAGGTATAAGATTATAAGTTCTCTTTTGTGTTATGGGTAATTGTGTGTAAAATACAGTATTTTTTACAATATCTCGATCTGTGATTTCATGTTTTATGAGCAGAAATATTTTCAATTGATAGCATGGGATCTCAATCATATTACACAACATATGCAATTCTAATTAGATCTCGAGTATCTATCTATATATCTTTCTGCGGCCAACGTTTTTGCAAACGGGTGTATATATATACACCCGTTTATATATATATATATATATAAGGTGTATATATATATATACATATATATAGTGTATGTACATACAGTCGTTATCAAAAAGGTTGTCCCTATCAATATATATACAAATATATAAATATCAATCACGTGAGCATTAAACATTCTTTATTTCGCTCATTTTTGTCTTGTGTCTTTATTATTATCAATATTGCTCACCTTACTATTATATTTCTGAAATTTTTAATAAAGATTTTCATGGATTTCCCATAAAATTAAGGTATGCAGTAAAATCACGTGACTGATATTTACGTATTTATATATATTTCAATATGACAACCTTTTTGATAACGACTGTATATATATATATATATATATATATATATATATATATATATATAGTGTATTGCAGAGAATTTTAAGGATGTTTTGTCGGATTCTTTGTCAACTGCCATAAACATTATTAATTGCTTTAGACTTAAAACTCACGTGCACAGTTTAAAAACACTCTAGCGAATGCCAGTTTTCAAACAGGATGTTGTATATGCTACGAAAATCAGTAAATTACGTAAAACGTTACGTAAATTTTAGTGCAATGAAACGGAAAAGCTGAATTATTTTTAAAAACCACCGTAGTACAACAACATTGCACTGAAGAAACCAGCGGAAAATTTCTTTATGGTTGCACTAAAGTATGGGGTTTTGCCATTAGCTGCCCAAATTTGCGTGGTTTTTGCGTTGTCCATACGGCCTCATGCCCTCATCCACTCTCGCGGTCAGTTAGATTGTGGAGAAGCCTTGAATGGATGATTTCGTACCGGAAAAAATTCTTATACTTATCTACGTAATCTCTTTACAGGAACGATTGGGTACAAAAGAAGTACAAAGTCTTTCATATTTTCGTTCAGAAATGCGGACCGCATAGGTCCATTTTCAGCTGATGTCTACCGCCACAGCGAAAAGGCTATTTTTTCAAGCCCAGCATATGGGCCAATATTTGGAGGTGGCAGTGATTTCTCTGTCGTAAACAATGCAGATCAATCAACAGCTTCGTACACAAATCTTGGTTACACATACCGCCCACCGCCTGGCTACAGGTATCAAGCCAGCAATACCAGAGCCTTACTAGCTGGCAGTTTTCACTACACTCCATCTGAGGTTGAAGTTTTCTACTTTGAATAGCTCGTTACCTTCGATCAATTAACTATAATATTTCTCTTAAAGCTAGGTTTACACTATAAAAGCTTCTATATAATTATGGTCTAAGGGATTATTGACCGAGCGTGAAGTTTATGACTGTGAAATATTAGACCGAACAAGTGAGGTCAATAATCGGTTTATTATATAGCTGAACTGCATGAGACATCCGGGATACTGGTCCAGATACGCAATAGACGGACCATGGTCCGGATATGGGTTTTACAGACCGCTCGTCAACGAATCAGAATAGAGGATTTTAAAAAACCATATAAAAAATAAATATACATAACAAAAAATATAATTATATAGCATTGGACGCTGTAAGGTTATTTCATTAAAATTGCGCTGGAAGCTCGTTCAAGTTTAAAATATAACTTTTGACAATTGACTGAAAATGATTAAGGCATACTAATGTAGAATGTATAAGAGGATTCTTAATTCTGATTTGGATTTGAAATTTTATATAAATCATGCAGTTTCAATAATAAATAAATCATGCAGGCACAGTAATTGCATAATACTAAACGTGTATAATTATCATAGCTAATCATAGTTTATATGATAATTATCATAGCTAAAAACATAAGCTCATAAAGTATGCACTTTTTTATCAGTAATAGTTCGTTATACTATACACTCGTAACTCGACTCCTTTATCTTCTTTGGGAGAAATTAGTTTTAGTATTTTCCGTACAGTATCTCGTAGTTTTCAGTCATCGAAACTGATATAAGTAGAAAAGGATTTCTATGGCCAAGTAAAAAAAGCATTGGTCAGAATTTTGATGAAAATGCCGCTTGAGAAAATACGTCGAGTTAATACCTATATAGGGGGCTTATACAGTAGGTGTACGTACTGGACCTAATGTAGAAATAATACCCCGGCGGGAGACATGCCTCAATGTAATTAGCCATTTCCCAATCGATCAGCGTATACTAGGTCTAGTTGCGAACCGCAAAGCATCTATGGACTATTTGGAGGCCTGCCTGATCAATTTTCTAAACCCACGGGGTGCACAAACATGCACCGGCGTTGTTCAAGGTTGTGCTTTTCACTGGCAGATTTCGATTTCAAAACGTGTTTTCCGTCTCAAAACGTGTTTTGTGCGTACGTATTTTTTACGTCTGGATATAAGTCTGGACGATAAAAACTTTTCTTTGCCGTGCATTATTGTGCAGAATTTTGCTTATAGAAGTAATGTCAAATTCCCAGGAGCAGAAAGGCTTTTGTGCTTGTGACAAAGATATCTAAAATATGCACAAAGCTGACAATATTTTACGCATCCAAGGGCTTAGCGTAGTGACGGGGCATTTAAATTATAACAATAGTTTAACTTCTAAAGGTCCTCTTTTTTTACACCCTGCAGAACGATACAATTACCGTTCACAATTATCGTACATATTGTGAATATTCATATTATTTAGTTCTGCTGAACGGGTTTCTATTGTGAGCTATTGCACTTACAAATGCCTAAATCCGTTAGGTAGAATTGAAAATAAATTATATGAATATATTCGCCCCCCCCCCAAAAAAGACAAACATTATTTCAGAAATAAAAAGGTAAGGCGAAATGTACCAAAATTGAACACAGACAATTTTAGAGCGATTGAAAAATTCACTATCAGGGGCCTAGCTGATGTATCAAGCCAGTTTAGCTCAAAATTTTATACCACTCGTACAATTCTCCGAGGGGCCATGTACCCGGGAAGCGTGAGATGGTTTCGAGGTACTGAAAATGAGCAGACTAATATGATATTGGCAGTCGTATAATCACTACAACAATAGCATGTGCTTGTTTGGTGTATTTATGAGTTTATATATATATATATATATATATATATATTTATATATATATATATATATATTTATATATATATATAAACTCATAAATACACCAAACAAGCACATGACCGTGGGAAGGATGAAGAGAAATTGAGTACGCCCCAGCGATAACACAAAAGTCTCTCCGGAAGAATGCTTTTCAAGTTGAATGAGTCTGAAACAAGTCTGCAAAAAGAGTAAGGACATAATTAAGTAGTGATTGAGAAATAGCATTTCTGCGGTTGGTGTAGATTACGTGAAGAATTCGAGACAAAAGATTTAGGTTATTTTAGGTATACTGTAGCTATATCAAATGAGATTAACCTGGCACTATATACGGCTTCTTTATTTTTTTTTATGTTCATTAATCCATTGAATTAATACAATATCACATAGCAATATGCATCAGTGTTTTTTTATACAAGTACGATCGTACTATAGGGACCAGGAACTGCGTAACCGAGTTTAATTTCTGAACTGCATTGTATTTATAACAAGGACAATGTATTTCTAATCGTTTCCGTTTACTTATACAGGGTGTCCCAAAAAAAACGAAAACTATTGAAATCACCCATAACAATGCCATTGTTAGAGTTTGAATGCCTAAGCACTCTGTTGGGCCCACAAGTGTATAAATCGGGGTTGCCATAAGCATTTTTATGCATGCATATGATGCAGTCAAATTTGCTTGTTCGCAAAAATGATATTTATTAACAATATTTACAATTTACAAATATGGATAACATTATTTAAATGTGCATCTCAAGGACCATGACCTTCGACATGTCCCCTTTCTCTAGCAACACAAAGCATTTAGCATTTTATAAGTTGTATTAAATCCTCACGGGCTGAAATTCGTGAACACGGCATTCAAATTTTAACAATGAGTGATTTCAATAGTTTTCGTTTTTTTTGGGACACCCTGTATATAGGCTGAATATTAATGATATGTATATATTATTTGCTGCAAATATATCAAGAATTGCTTGTAACTTGCTTCAAAGGTCAAAAGTAAAAATTCGAACTCCGTCAATCGATGCGGAATTATGCTTAGAATATTGTGCCAAGTTTCATTCCGATCAAACAAGTAATGAAAGAGCCTTAGGGTTTTTTTAAAGAGCGTCGGCCCCTAACAACAACAACAAGATTAGCAGCGGTTAGGGACCAGTTCCTGGTCCAATAATTATATCATTCCCCCAATGGCGAGTGTTGATTAGTTTAGTATAGTATGAAGCCTGAAACCCGAGCGCAGTATATCCCGTTACTATTGGTCACTATGCAGCTGTTCTCAAAGGCCCGACAACGTCGTTTACATTGAACTCTGTTTGGTTTGGTTATATCAGGGAAGGCATTGCACAAAAATATTGTGCGTATGTTTCAGGACGTTTTCAAAGCGAAAATCACCTTAAACTGTAGGATTGCTATTTAGGTAAGTAAAAGCTGTGGTAAGCAAGCGATGCATCGTATAGACATTTTGTGTTGGCGATGAACACAGAGTTCGAGAATCGCTGGTATCCTTATGTATTGGTATATAGTTAAAGGAAAGGGTAGGGCAAAAGCTTAGAAGCGATGCATCCTGAGTTATCTCGCTCTGCGTCTTCACCTAATCTGAACCATAATAAACATGCGTTGAAGAAAATTTCATGCATTACTGAGAATGAACCAAAAATTGCGTCATAAAATTGAGTATCATTCTTTCACGCATGGTAACATCGACAACTCGGTCACATATGAAATTAAAATTGATTTTCTTTGCGAAATTTGAAATTAAAATTCTTTGTGAAATTGAAACCGGAGACTGTGAAATTCTGTGCATATTTTTGTTTTCTAAAAGATCTAAGCTTAGGTAAGGAAAATTGAAACACGCTGGAACGTGCAGGTCAGCTAATGATTAGTAAACGAATGATGTGTTGATTGATCAATAACCAATTGCACTTCTGTTTGTGTTCAGTTGTGGGTATTGCATGCTGGTTCAATTGAGCGCGTATATATACGTAATCGATACTCTCTGTCGTGAAAATGAGTTGTCATGTTCGTCTGTAAAATTGTGGCTATCATACATATATACAAATGTGTGTTAATAGTTAGTTAAATTTAGCATTTGTAAACTTGGAAAATAACGAGTAAGCAGGCACTTACGTTACGTACGTTTAAAGTATAGATAATTAGCAACCGCCTGTCCCATCACTCCCATGCACGCAAAGAGATGTACGAATGAAAACATCGCAATAGCTAAAACGCGAAACAACTATCCATGCTTTTAGGCTTCATTTCTTTTCAATTCACTTCTTCACTTCGGCTGAAAACAATAGCGTTGCCAGCCTGTCCCGCTATTTTGGTGTTCATTGACTGTGAAAACTATCACTTTATCTATTTATAGACGTTTCAAAATTAGAAGGCATTTTCTTCGACATCTGGGGCCGGTTTTTCGAAAGGTTGGTAAAGTTATCCTCTGGATAGTGATTATTTAAAACGTTAAAAATTCCTCACCACATGGCATGGCCAAGACTGAACTTCACAATTTTGAGGTTAAAATGTCTTTTAACGATTATAAATTTTAACATAAATAGCTTCATCGGTTTTCAAGGTTTTCGAACAACTCGCCCCAGCTGGCTTGTACCTAAATAACTTTTTTTATGGTATAGTTTACATTTAATGCACTACACCAAGTGCCATAGCGATTTTGTCCCGCTATGTCAGGCTGCATGCTACGCTACTGACACCCACCAGTGCATGGCTAGCAGCCTAAAGATTTGAGAGAATAGATTTCCAGTTACTAATGCACTTTATCTATCCCTTGCACTTTAGGCACATTGAGATGCTCCCATTAAAGTTCTACATTACCGCGTTGGTGCTTTCCCCCGCAATTCCCTTGAAGGTACGATAGTTGAAGTTGTGCATGTGTGCAGATCTTCATGCACCTTGCAATTATTCTTAATACATGCAGATCAACGTTTAAGCATGTTTTATAGGTATAGCTACTACAAAAAGGCAGGCATGCATATAAAGCAAGCTGCCATCTTTTTCGATTTGATCAATGGCAACACGCACTAGCTCTTCTGATTCTTATTAGATTGGGCTCACTGATTTTTTTTTCAAACAGTCACTGACAGTTCGTGATAGTTACAATCCTGGAACCTGCGCAAAAGCCAACCGTGGTGAGCTCGTCCTGGTGAAAGATCGTCAGAATAAGGATACTATCCTGGTTTGCACTGAAGATGAAGGAGTGTACACTTGGAAAACAACTGATGGTAATGTTATATAGTAGCAAACTAAAACTAATTATGTTTATGCTTTGTCAGTTCTAATTCCACAATTTTCAGTACCTTACATGCCTGCAGTAAACAGACATTCAAGTTGAAGTCTGAAGTTAACCATGAGGAAATGATTTAAATTTTAAAATCTTTCTTCCCCGGGAACTGTGTTTAAATGGAAGGCCGGCCGCATTTTAGGAACAAGTATACTATTTTCCTAGCTAGGGCCTGCTAGGCTACCTATAGTGTACGGAAGAGCTTAGTAATCCCAAACTTATAGCTATCCATCTCGTTTCTCCAACACTAACAACATTTACCAATAAATAAATACAGACTAGATTACATGCTAAGGCGTAGCTACATGAAATATTACTATTTGGTCGACCCTCCTTACACCGGCGTGGCATATACTTTCTGTTAAGGTGGTAATCTTAGTTAAAGCAAATTCTTTACAGCAACCCATAAACCATGTGGCGCTTTGTGAATTAATTCATCTCTTGTAACCCCTTGACATTGTCCCACAGATTTTCAATAGGGTTAAGGTCTTTTGACTGTGCAGGCCAATGCATTTCTATCACTCCCTCTTTTTGAAACTAGACTATCAATGCCTATGAAGCCCTAGCTATCCTGCATTTGCCTCTTTTTCATGAATTTGTGTCTAAGCAGTTCTTTTTGACCACTAGTGTATTATATTAAAAGATTGATTGTCACGATTCCTGTTACATACATAATAGCAACATTTGAGCTAAAACTATAGCTAGTGCAGTATCTCGAAGACGGCAGGTAAATACATGCAGGACGCAGTTTTATTTTTTGTTTTCAACATTACTGGGTACATTTTCGTGTTTTTAACATTAAGGTTCGAAACCTTCTGGTGAATATTTCAATCCTGGATATGACTGTTTGGAAATCCTAAATCAAAACACGAAGGCAAAAGACGGCTTTTATTGGGTAAACTTTCGTCGTCCCATTCCGATAAAGGTTAGTTAGAACTTTGAAATACCACTAATAATATTGACAATCAAACAAAAAATTCACATGATGTTTTCGCAGTTTGCTATGTAACAATATTTGCGTTTCCAACTCCCGCGCTGCATGTCGAGTAATAATTGGCATAATCGTCGCAATGTTACATTTTTGTTATTGTTACTTTTGGTTTACTGGCTATTTTGGCTAAGTTTACTCAAAACGCAATCAGTTAGCTGAGCCTGGAATCAATATTCCAGTTGTAAACCAAGTGACCGAGAAGCAGATGCCCCTCTTTGATTTTTGACAGTGGTTCGACGAGTGGCGTAACTAGAACGATAATTGGGGGGGGGTGAATATTCATATATCCAGTTCTGCCCTACGGATTTCTTTTGTAATTGCAATAGCTTACAACAGAAATCCGTCGGGCAGAACTGAATATATGAATATTCACCCCCCCCCCCAATTATCGTTCTAGTTACGCCCCTGGGTTCGAATATTGAAATATTGCATTCCGTTACTGAATTTGCCTTAGACAAACCATTTGCCTTCGCATTGCCGGCGTCCCTACCTAAAGCCCGGTTTTCATCACTCGCAGACAGTCGTCGATCTCTATTCTCGTTTGTTACCGATGCATAAAATGCTTTGTTCGTAGAAAATGAAGCCTTTCTTGTGGTTATGATCCAGGCCTCTAACGCAGAAATTTCAAAGGTAAAATCATAATTGCCGCAGTAATTGCCGCCATTTTACCTAACCAAATTTCTGCGTGGAGGCCTGGATCATACCTACAAGAAAGGCTTCAGTGTTTGATATCTTGGCTTGAAACTTCCGACAAAGTGAGCATTCCAGACGTATTTGAGTTCACTGTGTAGGTAAGCATTCACGCGGAAATTTCATAGGAAAAAATGGTGACAAGTATTATTTTAAGTCGGCGTTAGATCATATCGAACTAACGTACATGACGTCATAAAATTTTCAATAACCCCAACCCTAACCGTAATTAAGGTAAAGCCAGAGATACTATTACATAAGTATATGATCACTCCTATACTGGGTATGAGGGTAACAGACATTTACACTTTCGTGTAGATTTATAAATGTATAAATGTATTATCATTCATCGCCATTTTTATTTTATCATTTTTATGAACCAGCTCTAGAAAGACTTCATGTAAGACTTCTGTTATTATACTTCCGTTATTGCAAAATTTATGACGTCATACCCACAAGAAAGACTTCATTTTCTGCCATCTTGATTTCACTAATTAATGAGGGAGAGTCAGAGAGTTTCAGTCTTATTTGTATTCACTGAAACAACCTCGTTCGTTCCCAGGGTATTTGCTCTGCCCAAACTGTACAGAAATAGCCTGGTATGAACTCACTATGGAGGGGAAGGGGAAGTTAATAATTACATGTGCAGTCTCTTCACAAGAAGTTCAATGTGTTAGACGATAGTAAATAGGTCACTAAAGCAAATTTTGCAGTTATTTTATCCTGCTGTAAGTCTGAGTGTGATGTCATCAGCCACAGCGTATACCCTGGGAACGAGGTTGTTTACCACACCCCATTTATGCGTACACTGATGGGGTGGACAGCGTTTGATCAAGTGGCCAATCTTTCCAGGTATGGTGCGACATGACCACAGATGGTGGGGGGTATATGTTATTCGGGATTATGAATAACACCGTGACTTGGAATGTTCCGTCAAGCAACTCTACAGTGGAACCATTTGGTATTCCTCAGTTTTCTAGTGCTTTTGGTGACGTATCCATATTGGACTTTAGAATTCAAGTTTCTACGGATGTGCAATATAAGCATATTATATCACACTGGTATATTTCTCATTCTATTGTTATTACTAATGAATATACTGTTATATATGTCAAATTAGTAGAGCTATCATTTTTTGTATAGGTAGAAGTGCACTCTTTTAAAAAACTGCGTGCAATTGAATGCTACGAGAATACTTTATCTTACCTGCATCCTAGCACGTTATGTATTGTTCTGAATGACCCTTAATAAATCACAAATTAACAATAAATTCATAGCTAAATTTACTCTATAGACTTTGTTGTGATATATTAAAAAAAATTATTACAAAAAAATTTTGCCACCAAAGAGTCTAACGGAATCGTGCGAAGATTTACATAGTGCGTAGATAGCATGAGAAACTAATTTACGTCACCCATGTCAATGCTTTAGTTTGTATAAATGTTTTGAAAGGAATAATGTTTGTTTGGAAAGGAAATTTGCAAAATTATGTTTGATTCACAAAAAGCAAGCGCGTAATAAAGTATAACCGTTCTTATGTGCACGCTTAATAAATGTGATATACCATACTATAACCTTTTAAATCGAAGTTGAGGGGTTTAACTTTACAATAGGATTTAATTGCCATGACATGAACGGGATGAAAATGTTTTAATGTTTCAGGTCGTATCGCTTCAAAAGCAAACGCCCATTAGGAGAATTGTTGATGGTGAATGATATTGGATGTCCGAATAATTTACCTGGAATAGGTGATATTTCCTACGTGAAAAATTTGATGACAGAAGAAATTGTTTCCAAAGATTTCTCATGTTCAGTGTTTGGGTCTTACAGCCATCCTTCAGCAATGATTGGTTGGGTAGGTGAACTAAGTACAGTATGTAATTAACATAATCGCGAGCATGCTTGGGGGATGCCCATGTTCTTCAAGCATTTGCCATGGATCATAATATTGAAATATAGGCCTAAACGTTCATTTATATTTATTGGAGTGCATGGTATATGTCGACATCATTCGAAATGAATACTAGAATGACATTCTGCCATGATGTATTGCTAGCATTGCGTCTATAAAGGCAAATAATGAAAAGAAAAACACGCAATGACTTATTATATGCCTGTTTTCAAAATACCTCAATTTTTGAGACGATTTTTGACAGCATTAAATGTCATGTGTCTAACTTCCGTAACATTATATCGCTGGCTTTTGTTCCCTTATATTTTGAAAAGCAATTTATAGGATATGCTTTAAACTGGCAATTATTTCTGTTTTGTTGAAAAGAAAATTTACACTTCTTATAGAGCCTTTTTATAAAATTTGTTTATCTTCCTTACTTCGCAAGATATTGGCGATATCGAGATATATCCGCCATCTTGTTTTATAATGAGATCTAATTGCGTCACGTCAAAAGCAGGGTTGACGCTTAAAAAATAACAATTACATGTTTACGCTTTAGTTTAGGACTCTTACAATTCAAACGTTACAATTTGAGATACGTGCGATTCTAATACCATGGAACTGTCACTTCGCCGGATCGTCAATTTGAAGTTACAAAACGAATTTTCACCCAGCTTATGACGTAACGCATATCAGAGCAAGAATATGCATATCCAAAATGGCGGATGGAAGATAATTTCATTCGAAAATATCTTGAGAAGTAATAAAAATAAACAAAAATCCATAAACGCATTTTGTAAATAATCATGACGTTGTTTTAAAAAAGACAAATTTATACGTTTGCAGTCCATGATGAATTCCTGCCTGAAGAAGCCGTGTTCGAATGGATTTGCCTATCACCCTCTCAGTGTATTTCCAATCCAGGTTGATTTCTCTGGTGGACTCAGGTAAATGAATATCAGGTGGTGGCAGGTGTATTTATTATGCATCAGCATGTATGTCAGATATTCATGCCAAGTAAATATATTAGCAATCAATCTTGACCTGCTCTTTAGTTTTCTTGCTGGAAATAGTTCTGGAACAAGTGATGGTTCCACAGCTTTTTTTGGTTGCGACAAAGGAAAGGTAACAAAATTGACAAAATTCTTATTTTGATGATGTCAATTTTACCACGATCCCATGAGATTGCGTTGAGATAACTAAATCACTGGTAGAACTACTTTTTCAACTGCTTAAACATTCTAGTAATTCAAATTACCTTTTGAAATTAGTGCTGTGCTTGCTATGGCCCAGCTGGAGGCAATGGTGTTTACTGTGGGAAAGAATGCACAGTCATGAACGGAGGTACAGTTACGAAGAATGCTCGTGCTGGGTTTTGGGTAAGATTGAATCCTCCTCGGAAGGTGTGGGAAAAGTGCATGGAGTACAAGACTGAAGAGGAAAATGGTGATGCAGCTTGGTATAAATTGGTTGGAGATAGAAATATTCCTGTGAAGGTTGGTATCTATATGGTTTAACACAGGTGCGCGGGGAACAAGTCAGGATTACCGGCCTCTATTTTGAGCATGGATAGCCTTAAATATTCGGAAATAATCCATCATTTGTTGTAAATTTAACAAATTCACTCGATTTTTTTATTATACATGCATTTGGGTCGTTTTAATCCATGTCTTCACTTAAATTACGACTTGTTATTTGATTTCATTAAACACATATAGGGACGCTGTGGAAAAAGCGAACCAACGTTAAATGATGGGGTAAGCAAGTTATACCTGAATGCTTTATCTGAAGATTGAAATCCCCGCTTGCATAGATGATAAAACAATCACTCGTAAAGTGATTACAAATAATTCATTAGACGTGGTGGAGCAAAATATCACTGATTATTTGACGGTGGCGAACAGCTCAGTAATTTTCCTATGCCCCAGGCGAAGCTGTCGCAATTGACAGTGGCATTATGAAATGCCTATATCATTTGCTTTCGCAACATCCCATGTCCAGGAATCACGCAATTCTGTATGGAAAACTGTTCAGTATTCCTTCAATCCAAAATGGATCGAAGAATATACTATCATCGCTGCTTAGAAGATTTGGGAGTGTATTATCAATGAAGGTCGATAAACAAGATTGGCGAATTTATTACCCTTTACATGAATCACGACAATTATACATAATGCAAATTTAACCTTGGATTTTATTGCAGTGATAAATATATTCATATAGCCTGTATACAATGATCTGGAATGAATGTACAGTATATAATCATGTAGAATCAATGTATACAGGGTGTATCAGAAAAAACTAGAAGATTTTAAAATGTCCAGAAAACTATCATTTTATCAAAATATCTCAAAAATATATTTACGTCTAAGTATTTTAGCATCTCCTGGCTTATCTAACGGTAAAAACTATCAGAAAAATTAACCTAAAAAAGCGGGAAAACGGTTTGTAAAAGCCTCATTTTTAACCGCTTGCGCAAAGAAAATGAGAGGTTCAAAATCCAAGTTCATTTAAAGAGATGAAAGTTTGGACTCTTTTGTGCAATGTATTAAAATTTCAGAAAATTTGATAAACATTAAGTCTGCCGTGAAACGTTTCAAAATTGGACTTTTTTCCGTTTACTCCGCTCTCGCGTAACCTTTTTTCATGCAAGAATGATTACATGCATGAGCACGTTCGAGTGGTACTTAACTCATGCATGTAATCATTCTTGCATGAAAAAAGGTTACGCGAGAGCGGAGTAAACGGAAAAAGTCCAATTTTGAAACGTTTCACGGCGGACTTAATGTTTATCAAATTTTCTGAAATTTTGATACATTGCACAAAGGAGTCCAAACTTTCATCTCTTTAAATGAACTTGGATTTTGAACCTCTCATTTTCTTTGCGCAAGCGGTTAAAAATGAGGCTTTTACAAACCGTTCTCCCGCTTTTTTAGGTTAATTTTTCTGATAGTTTTTACTGTTAGATAAGCCAGGAGATGCTAAAATACTTAGACGTAAGTATATTTTTGAGATATTTTGATAAAATGATAGTTTTTTGGACATTTTAAAATCTTCTAGTTTTTTCTGATACACCCTGTATAATGAATGTATTCCAGG